GTCGCTCCATTATTAAAAATAACAATTATTTTAAGTAAACAATAACAATTACTTAAAAGAAAATATTAAGTTTAAATTTTTAAAAAATGGCATAAGGTGCATACTTATCTAATCCTATGAGACGAATCAGAAGCGTATGACATTTTTTAAAAAATAATGATATTTTTATAAATACATATTTTTAGTATAACTTTTTACCTTTTTATATTAAATTAATTTTTTAATTGGGCAGTGATTTCAACCTCTAATTTTTTGATATAGAATATATGCATGAACTAGTTGGAATATCGTAGGTTAAGATAAAAAGAAAAGAAAAATATAATATTTCTCTGAACTAGTTGAAACACCGTTGACTAGAATACCGAGAAAGGAAGAATGATGAAAGAAAAAAAAAATACAAATTTAATTTGAGTTACAAAAGTAAAATAATACTAGAAATAGAATTGGGATAATTGCATGAGTAGTTTGAGGTCCAATTAAAAAAAAAAAACAATATGTCTTAATTTAGCCGGTTATAAATAGAACTATAGAAGACCAATTGTAATTTACAAGTTACGACAATGCCAGAGGGATATTTTGGGTACAATTTAGAAAATCATGATAGTAAAGGAAGCATGTCTAAATAAGTCTGAAATCGAAAGAAATCTTGCGGAATGGGAAAAAATTTTCAACAAAACTATTGAAAAATAACTATACAAAATTGAGCTAGAAATGCTAAATAAAGTCAAAAAATTTCAACCGAAAAATAACGCTATTTACTAAAACAATTATGGGGATTTTTTTTTAAAATATTTTTTTACTGTTTTTTACCCGAATTCTTTACTTTTTTTTATTGCCCTCTTATATTCTTTCACTTGTTTTCAAAAGTTATATATATATTAACCTAGATCTAAAATAAAGAAATGAGTTGCATCTTTTAAAATACTTATTAAACCATGTATATGATGAGATGTGATGGGATCTAAATGGACTGAACTTCAAGAAGGAGATTAGTTCCCGTCCCACGTTATAAAAGACATACTATTTTTTAGTACAAAAGTCACATAAGTCTCCGTTTCTAGTTTGTTTGTTTTTTTAATAAAAAAAAACATAATTACTCTCAATTTTTAAATTAGAAAAAAGAAGAAAATTTTATTTTATTGGAAATGAGAATAAGAACAACAAACTTGTTTCTTTTGTTCTAATTTTTATATACAACATAAAAAATGAAATAATGGTCAAATATTTACAAATTTTTAATAAAAATCATAAAAACGAAAAGTAAAAAAAGAGAACATTATTAAAATGAAACGATTTATCATTGGTTGAATAATTTTTACTAACTAACACGAACTTACTTCAATATTTTATATTAGCGATTAATAAATCTTTGAATTACGGAGATCTCTATCGCGGAGCAGCGACGGCAAGACCCCATATTAGGAAACGCGTATCTGGAATGGAATGGATGTGAATGATATGTTGTGGGGGAGAAGTGGGTCCCACTGGATTGATGGTTTGATGGGAAAGGGAAGAACATTCATACACTTAACTGACACGTAGCACATTTCCGGTTCTGGTGCTGCCAACAATAAAGATTACTTCAGGCGAGATGGGTAGAATGGGGATTTCACTATCCTCATTCCCGAGGCAACAGTCATACATAGGCTCTAGCCTTTTTCACTTCACCATCCCGCTCCTTTAGCTGGCGCGCATACCGAATGAGAATGATTAAACCCAGGGATTTACAACTCACCAAGGTGTTGATTGTGGAATCCAATTTTCAATGTCTACAATTTTGAAGTTGCAATTTTACTATTTCTTCCACTTTTGTTAATTCTTTCATTTAACTTTAATGAAATAATAATAATAATTTAAAAGAAATTTACTAATTTTAATAAAATAAAAACTTTGTCCAAAATTAAATTGGATGAATGCAAAAAATTTGACGATAGAATAACTATGTCTCAACTCTCACCAATTAAAAAAAAAAAAAACTTACCTTGTCTATGCTCTATTATCTATTGGACACACGTAAATATATTCAATATTAACGTAAAGATAGTAATAATTATCTAAATTTAAGATGTAATTTGATAAAATCCAAAATTTAGAATAAATATTGATAGATCTAACCAAGTTCATTAATTTACTTTTTCCTTTTGAAATTAATTATCAAAATCTTATTTGAATTTCTAAACTTTGACTTTGTTTTCAGAAAACAAATAGACAGTGCAAATTTGTTATTTTATTTTAGCATTTTGATTTTTGAGGTACGGTGTGAGTGAATATGGAGGCCACATAAGTTGATTACACGACAATATTGTTCTAATAGGGGAAAAGCCTTCCATTTCCGTCAAATGACCCCGACTCCCCCGACTCTTCCACCGTCAGTACTAACTTATGGGCTAACGGGTCACACTTTGGCCAAGTATCTTACAAAGAGACTCTGACATTTTGATAACTAATTAGAGTTGACATGAAATGGATCACGGAAGAAGACGTATTTGATGAATGAATGATTCAATCCCCTTCCACCCACACGCTTCGTCCGCCTGACTGGAGAGGGCGGGAGGTTTGAATGAGTGACTTCCGGTTTTTCAGTCAGTAAAGTAAACTGACAGAAAGAAGAGAGGTTTAAGCGAGAGTCAAAGAATTACAATAAAATTTGAAAGTTTTTTTTAAGTTAAAATAAATATTTTAAAATTTTAAATATTAAAATAGAATAAATACGAAAATTTAACCATTAAGACGAAATTTAAATTTAAAATTAGTAATATTCTATTTATCGAATTATAACATCTTAATAATAACTGAAATCGAATTCTAGTTGTTTCAGGAAAAGAAAATCGAATTTGAGTGCATATTGGCATAATGCTATTGTTAGCGTTAATTCGCAATTAACAAATGCTAACTAATGTAAGACCCGTGAACGAAAATTAAGAGAGAAGAGAGAATAACAATTATAATATTCACGAATAAGTCTTATTAAAAGAATCGAATCTTAATTTAATAATAAAGTACGCATAAATAATTAATGATTCTTCCTCGTAATTTTAGCATAGTATTCAATAAAGTAGAGTACGAACAACCGTTTATTTTCCTTAAAAAAAACCTTTAACTTTTTTCTTAATTTTCACAACACTTAAATCTTATTGTTTGATCATGGAAATGATCAACTTTATGAATTTTGGATTCAAATGGCCGAAGAAAAACTACAAAAAAAAAGGAAAATGTTCTAATGTAAGTTAGTCTAGGTTCGATCTATACTAGAGGACACTTTCACGTACTTAGAAAATGAGCATGGCCTCTCTATTTTTGGGCTTGAATTTATAATATCAGTTTATGAGCGATTATGACTATCCCACAAATTACAGTGTGTTTTTGGAGAAACAGTTGTGCGTTTATGCCTGAAGGCATAACATTCTTCGACTCTTCTCTTATGAAGCTGAGTTACTGAGATCTTCATTGGCCGACTTGACCTTTAAAAAATTTCGAAAAACCAATATCACTAATGTCGGCTTGATCTTTAAGAAGTTTTGAATGATATATTCTCCCTTTAAAGGTTTGATTTTCAACTTATAGAATGATGTTGACATGTAGTGCTCGAGAAATTACTTCCAACACTGATGGATAGACATCTAATTTCGTGATCATCTCTCACATTTTGACAACTCTTTAATTTATTTATACACATTTCTCTTCTACTAGTCAAAAGTTTAACCTAATTCATCATTGTTGAAATTAAATATTGTCTCATAACGCCTTTGTTTTTAATCTCACTCATTGTAATAACGTGGCAAATAGTTATTGGTAGACTTCATGGGCCACCTGACATTCTCATTACCAAAGAAGCACGCCACCTCATCTGCTCATGTGATGTTGGTAACGTGGTGGGCCTCTGTTACTCACGATGAGTCAAATGTTCTTCAGACATTGAACAAGGTGCCGAAAGCTAGAAAGGGATGCCGGTTGCGCTTTGATTTGGAATTTTGAAAAATATTGCATTGATAATTATTTTAATTTTCTGCTTTTACAATTTATTTATTTGAGAAAATCTGCTTTTACGAGGTGATGCTGATATTTTTCAAAAAAAAAAAAAAGAGTTGATGCTTAATTCAAATAAGGTTACGACTCTATTTTTTGTTCTATAGTTGCTATTCAATTTTTTTCCTTTAAATTTGGATAAATTTTAAAAATTAAATAGATAGTTTACAAATGGTAAAACTTTGCTTTTGTTTCTTAATTTTGACTTATATTTCAAAATTTTTTTTAAAATGAAAAAAAAAGAGAGAGAAGGAGATAGTTTTCAAAAGCAAAATTGTTAAATCACAACCGTTGATCCAGAACTTAGGCAAAATGTAGGCCTTAACCACTTATTGCTTAAGATAGAACATGGCTGATAACCATTGCCACGGCCCAGAAGCCGACTTAAGATAGAAGTCCATTAGATATTAGGCTGGGCTTACGAATAGTCTCGACAACTGGGCTTTAAGGTCTAACTTGTCCATCTCCGCAGTTTAAAACCTACAAGCTTGATGCATCCATAAATTGGAAGTTAAAAATATCCATAAAACATAAAGAAAGTTATTATAAAGTAGTTGTAAAGGAGTTGACGGAGGCGGCACAAGCGGTGGAGCATGTAGTTTAATTCGATGCAAAGTGAAGAAGCATAAATCATAGGGTGTGTTTGGGAGTGATCTTGACAAGCTCATTGCCAAGATCACTCATTTTTATTGATTATATTTGACAAATTAAAAAATTGATTCTAAGAAAGTTTAAAATCATTTTAAATTAATTTTTAAAATATTACTTGAATGATTGATTTTAGAAAATCAATTATACCTAATTCCTTTTCTTCAAAATCACTCATTCTACTACTATCTTTCCCAAACACACCCTAACGATAGGATCTATAAATTGGAGTGAAACTTTATTATTAATTAAAATAATTTTTTATAAATCCTTTGATTTTCAAGACTATACACCAATATTTTATCAACATACCCATCAGTATATCATAAAATTGAAAATCTCTAAATCACATAAAATCCTTGGTTACTGTGAAAGAAGAGATAGAATGTTCTTTCACACGTTTTTCTCGCTATAAAATTTTTGTTCTTTACGGTTGCTCTAATACATGAGCAAAGAGATGGCATGTGCCTCCCACGTTTTTCTCGCTCTAAAAATCCACATCACACATTGTTGTTCAGTGCTGCCTACAGACGTTCAAGCATTAAATCCCAACCACTCATCCAGAAAATTAGGCCCCATCCCAGGATCTCGCCTTCTCAAAACTCGCCATGGGCCGGTCTCAAGGTATGAGCCCATAAGATGTTGAACTGGGCCTTCAAAAATCTCAATAACTGGGCTTTATTGTCGAAGTTGTCCAGCTCCGTAAATGAAAGCCCAAAGCACAGTTCTGTTTTCCGCTACACGTGAACGAAGAGATGGCACGTGCCAGGCACGTTTTTCTCGCTTTAACGTTCAACATCACACATAATTGGTCCCTACTGCTTCGTACACACGTTTGAGCTGTGTGTGTGTATCGGAAGCAAGTAGCAAACAAAGGCCTCAAAGAATGGCAGAAATACAAAGCCACAAGAACCACTCGTTTTAAATCGTGGCCAGAACCCAACTGACCTCACTCAACAACCAATAGTTGGTTTTAACCTGAGGAAGATGCACGATCAAGTTCTCCATCGCCATGGGACACTGCTCTCTCTTTTCTCTTCTCCTCCACTAAAATCCATGCTCAAGATTCCATCTCCATCTGGATAATTCTCTTCTCAAGTCTCTGTACATCTTCTTCCACCAATAGCCCTTCTCAATTCTCCCACATCAGCCATGTCTCTCGCTCATTGCTTGTTTTCAACTTCCAGAAATGTTAATGTTACCAAATCTGAAGCTTCTTCTCCCTGTAACTCCCACTCTGGTGCACCCAAACATCGGCCATCTATATTCATTCTACAGAATCAGATTCTCAAGAGACATTACCTATCTCACAAGCCTCACCATCTTTCATCTATCTCGAAACTCAAGCACCCTTTTGCTGGGATATCGTCTTTTGCTGAAGCAGGGGGCGAAGGGAAGCAGGAAATAATTCGACTCAACCAACATCATGAGCATGAGCAAGTAGGAGGGGAGGAGGACATACCAGGGATGGCTGAGGCCTTCCATATATCTTCCAGAACCGTCACTGCTATCATAACATGTATAGCATTTTCAGCTCTCAGTTTTCCACTTTTCATGAAGTCCTTGGGGCAGGGGCTGGCCCTGAAGACCAAGATGTTGTCATATTTCACGCTGCTGTTTGGATTTTACATGGCGTGGAATATAGGAGCCAATGATGTGGCTAATGCCATGGGGACCTCTGTGGGTTCTGGTGCATTGACGCTCCGACAGGCGGTGATCATGGCGGCAATTCTGGAATTCTCTGGGGCGTTGCTTATGGGAACCCACGTGACCAGCACAATGCAAAATGGAATTCTTGTAGCCGGTGTATTTCAGGGAAAGAATATGCTGTACTTTTCTGGCCTCCTTTCATCTTTGGCTGCAGCTGGTACATGGTTGCAGGTACCAACATCTAGTGGGCTGTTCTCCATTTCGTAAAATTCATTAGTCCATTTTTTACTCTCAAAGTAATGAAGGATTAGGAAATTTCTGCGTATTATAAATGAAGAAAGCAAGAAATCTTCTAGATTCTCAATGGCTTTAATGGCTGTTAAATAAGATTTCATACAAAGTGATGGGCTGGTTAAGAATTGAATTATTAACATTAAATCTTTCACAGGGAATCAATCCAATAATTCAGGCTCTGTTTCCCCAAGGTAAACTTGTGTTAACAAACATTGTGCTCTGTGAGTGAGTTTGGCACGATTTTGAAACACCGGAAAGCGTTTTTAACACTTTGAAATTGTTTTGATATTGGGTTGTACGGTCAAAAATTGTTTTTAAAAAAATTATCTAGTGCTCGACCATCTTACTACTAATGGCCAGTGGGAGAGTATTGTTGATGTTGCATGGGAGAACAATAAAATTAACGAAAAATTTATAACTTACCTGCTCATCTTTAATGTTGTTGCCAAGGTTGCATCATATTATGGATGGCCCGTCTCGACCACACATTGTATAGTGGGATCAATGGTTGGATTTGGCCTTGTCTATGGAGGAGCCGGTGCGGTCTTCTGGGGTTCACTGGCGAGAGTAACTTCTTCATGGGTGATTTCTCCAGTAATTGGAGCTTTGGCCTCATTCCTTGTCTATAAATGCATTCGTAGGGTATGTTCCTGCTCACTGGCATTAAAGTAAGGCAAGCTTCTTGCCTTGACTAAACTGTAGCATTCATAAAAACCCGAATGCTAAAAAGTGCAATTAATCGTATGTTTTTTCAGTTTGTGTACAGTGCAAAGAATCCAGGACAGGCTGCAGCTGCAGCTGCACCGCTACTCGTATTTCTGGGCGTAACTGGAATTTCTTTTGTAGCATTTCCGCTAAGTAAGAACCTTCAATGGGCTCTAGCACAGGCCGTTTCCTGTGGAGCAGCAGGTGCATTCCTCGTGTACAAAATGATTCAGGGACAACTTGGCCATCTACTCAACAAAGCTGCTAGGAAGTCAAAAAAGATGGATGAGAGTACGGATCAGGGTAAAAACATTGGGTTTCTAGACGATATTGCAGGCCCAAAGGGAACTCAGTTGGAGATAGTTTATGGGGTATTTGGATACATGCAGGTCCTTTCTGCTTGCTTCATGTCATTTGCCCACGGTGGAAATGATGTCTCCAATGCAATTGGTCCCTTGGCTGCTGCATTATCCATACTTCATGGCAGCGTTGGTGGAGCTGAGATAGTCATTCCTATTGACGTTCTTGCTTGGGGAGGATTTGGAATTGTAGCCGGGCTGATGATATGGGGCTACAGAGTGATAGCAACCATTGGGAAGAAGATAACAGAACTCACACCGACGAGAGGATTTGCGGCGGAATTTGCTGCTGCTTCTGTCGTTCTAATTGCATCAAAACTTGGTTTACCAATATCAGCAACCCATACATTGGTTGGTGCAGTCATGGGTGTAGGCTTCGCAAGGGGACTTAACAATGTTAGAGCAGAAACTGTGAGAGAGATAGTTCTTTCTTGGGCTGTGACAATTCCTGTTGGTGCTTTCCTTTCAGTTTTCTATACATGGATCTTGACCAAGCTTTTGTCATATATTTTATGAGGCATGTACCTCTAGAATTTTCGATATGCCTCATGGAACAACTTGTGTACTAGCTAGTTCATTCAAGATATCCTCTTCCTTTTCCAAATGGGAATTGCTATTTATTTACCATCAAGCAAGCGAGAAACTAGTCTCTTGCTTGTCTTCAGCCTCTTTTTCCTTCTTGCTATTTAGCTCCTTGCAGAAGATTTCTGTACTTCTGCAGATTGAACTACGAAAAATGATATTTTTTTTTGTTATTCTGGCGGTATAATCATTATTTCAATATATTCAACAGGCATACTCATTCCAAACACTTAAAATTAGTTTTTTGCAGCCAATCGAAAATAACAAAATCGACGGCCTGGAGAATCAAACACCCTGAGTGCACAGCAGTGGTAAGCATTGGATCGTTGTCAAACACCATGTTGGTATTTCTCTTCCAAATTCAAGCCAATGGGAGCTCATTCTTTCAATTTTTCACAATCCGTGGATTCAGTAACCATGCAGGGGTAGCTTTAGCAGCTGGAGAGGGCAAAAAGCCAGCCAATCCAAGAGTAGTTTCTTCATGTCCTTCGCTCTACTGAAGGAACTCACCAAATTTCACCTGGCAAGCTGCGCTTGCACATCTTTGTGCTCATGTCATATTCCCAAAGGCCTGAAAACATCTGACGTTCGAGTTTCTTTAGTCTTCCACTAATCCAGTTGTTGTGGAGAACATAACAGCCCTTCTTCCTACAGGCTGCTTTTATATTTTTCTTTTTCCAAAGTTCTAAGTATGCACCGTTAGGAAAGAGGTTTCTATCCAAGAAATGAACAGTTAAATTTGTTTCAGGTTCCAAGCATCTATTACTACCCATGCGATTAATACCTCTGTCCCCGCAAAGGGTATCATAGAAGCTTGGCTGCTCCGACTGTCCCGAAGTTGCTGCATGCTTCACCACTTTCTCCATGGCAGCTATTGTTGAGTCATCAGAACGAGCAAAATAGAACCCAGAGTTCAAGCGTCTGGGTAAATTTATTGGTCCTGCAAATAAAATCAAACCAAGAAGTGACGAAAATGATTTGGATAAATATTTGATTATATGAGTATTTAACGTAAACCCTAAATAATAGTTTGTTCATTCCGAATTTCCTTTTCTCTGGCTAAATATTCTTCAAGTATTTCAATCCCATTTGAAAAGATAAACTTTCAAGAAATAACATTCCAAGGCAATGCATGAAAACCTGTCTTCTTGTATTCATCAGATTGTGCTGCAAGAACACCAGAACCAAAAGCGTAAAGAAAAGGAAGAGGATTTTTAAACCAATATACATCAACGTCACTAAGAAGTACGTTGTAACCCAGCTTTAATATCCTCAAAACCATTCTGGACTTCACTTTTGTCACCCTCTGGAAGCACTCTGTTCCAAAGTGACAGTCATTGAAGCTAATATTGGTCGGAGCCAATGGATCCCTGTAGACCGGCAGGCCCTAGCAAAAAATTGAACTGTTGAACGTTCAAAAGTAAAAAGAAATCTAATACAAATCACAGCAGAGAAGCCTAAAGCAAGAACAGAGAAGAAGAGGAACCTGCAGGACAGAGAACTGATATGTATCGTGATCAAGAGCGCAAACTATATGGTTCGGGATCTGGAGGCGGCGCAATCTGCATGCCCAGCTCATTAACATGTCTTTGTAACTATATCCTGCAACTGCTAGCACAATTGTCTTATTCTTATCTGCAATTAGGGGAAGAAGGATCTCTAAGGAATATGGAAGCTCTAAAGTTGCTGAAGGCGATATCCTATTTTCCAATGAGCAATCATGTAGTCTCCCCTGTGATCGAAAACCATGGTTACAAGCCACAGGTTTCTTCTTCCTCCCCATATGCAACAATCGTGTGTTCCATAAACTTAGAATTCTCCGGTTCTTCGGTTGATATGTTGTGTCTTCTGTGGTGTTGATCAGAATATATTGCCCATTACAGTTGAGAAGTTTCACCAGACTTGAAAGATTGGCTTCGTCATGAAATGAAGACCCATATAGTGAACCAAGATGGTAGTTGCCAAAATATTCCCAGCTTCTTGTTCCAATATCTGAATTTGGATGTCCATATCTTCCATCGGATGACTGCTCAGGATCTTGAAGATAGAAACTACTGATGGTCCAACTGGCATCAAACACAAACCTGAATTCAGATGCCATAGCTTCATTTATGACCCAATTGTTATGAATCCCTCTTCCATATAAGAAGGGAGGAAGAACTCCACTGTGCAACGGAATTTCCCAGTTGTTCCACGCCAATAGTTCTTTCCCTCTGCAGTGACTCCATCGCCAATGCTCATTGAGCAACTCCTGAAACCAAAAGAAAATAAGAATCCAAAAGGGGTTTGCTGAGTATATTCAATCAACTCCTAATGTATGTATCGTTGTCTCAATCCCCGAACGTTTGAAGATACTTAGTACCTTCTGGATTCTTGTAAATTTTTGATCCTCCATTGGGAAATGCCTCCTGGACTCGTCAAAGTAGAATGGTATGTATGAAATATTTCTCGATGAAGCAACCAGGAGCCAATCACGGTCAAGTTTGTTAGCATAATTCAGAGTAGAAATAAAATCAGGCAGAAGAATAGTTTCAGGATCAACGAAAACAGAGATGTCTGATGTGAACGACTGAGATCTTGCCATCATTGAATGGAAATATGGGGTTCCCAGGAACCTATACAAATAAGACAAGAACAAAAGTGATCAATATCATGCCGAGATACCATTTCTTCACGAGGGCTAATGCAGCATCTCTTATCTTCTTCATTTTGATTAACATTTTAAGCCATGATAAGCAATCTCATTTGGATCTAGCCAACGAAAAAGCATATTTCGAAAGGTTTTCAAGTTCTAATCAGGTAGATAATTTCACACTTCACATAAACACAATACTTGTTCAGTACTAGAGAAAAAAATCCATAAATATTGCCACATGGCTAACGCAGCTTCTCAGCCCTACAGAAAGTTGAGGAATCAATGTCCTATTCCTATGTATTAAACAGAATTAAACCAAATCAACAGGCTCTGATGACACCAACATTCCTAAACAAACACCAACGAATAATGAAATGAATACAAGCAATCTGCCGACTTCATCTGAATTTTTCAGCATTTGAAAACTTCCTTACAACACAACTTGAAATAACATTCGCCACGAAAACGGGAGAAGCTAAAAATTTCACATACGTAAAATCAATGTTGCTATCAACATAAACTCGCGAACTGAGAGAACGTGCAGATGATACAACGGAAGAGTCTTGGCTAAACAGAATGACTGTAATTTGTGGGGACAGAGCAAGCCACGACCGAATAGCTAAGCTCTGCCGAACTCCAATACTACCAGCGAAAGGGCGAGGCGCAGAGAATATGGAAATTGTAGGATTGAGTCGAACGCCGACAACTGCGGAGCGAAGCTTGGGCCTCACGAAACGATCCTTGAAGGAAGGCAAACTTTGAGTAGCATATAGCGAGAGAGCAATCAAAACCAATCCGGAGAGCCAGATTGAACAAAGTCCCGCTTCGATCGCCTGTCAAGAAATAGAAACGAAACATCAACAGAAAAACAGAACCAGATTAAAACTAGTTCTTATGAAACAGCTTAACAGAACAAAAATGGATGAAAACGAGAAGGCCGATGAGACCTTCATGCTTTGCTGTGTTCGTCTCTGAAGGTGATCGGCATGTACACAGAGAGGAGAAACTTTGTTTCAGGTTGTAGAGAGAGAGATTGTGAGACTTTAACTGAAAGAAATGCAATGCAAAAGTAACAAACCCACCACTTCCATTAACGCCATCAGAAACGGAGCACGCCACCGGCCATGTGAGGTCTGTCGTTTTCTGTACGCAATAATACTTTAATGTCCACTGAGAATACTTCGTTTTTTCCTTCAATTCTATTTCTAACTATGATATCGAAATCCGGGAGCACCATTTTGCATTCTGCGTTTCTTCACTCCCACAGTTCATGAAGCGCAGAGCCATATACGCCGGACAGAAATAGAGGAGAGAGAGGATCTTGAATCCTTCATGCATCCTTGGACGGTGTTTAAAACGTCGGGGTCCCTGTACAATAGATATTTCGGAAAAATTAATGAAAATTATGGAAATATCGAAAAAAGATTTTTAAATTATTTGAATATGCAAATTAAAATTTAATCGAAAAACTTTTGACTACTTTTTTCCTAAGAAGATTAGGAGATGAGATAATTAACAATTTGGTTTCCAAACAAATTTCTAAATTCTAATTAACTTTTTACCTATTACTCTTTTCAAATTTGAATTTACACATTTTTCAAACACATTTTCAAATCAATCATCAATCCAACTTTCTAATCAAATTTATACAATTTTCAAACACTTCAATCTCGTGATTGTGTCATCCATACAAATTGTGTTTCATATTTTACTCATTTGAGCAACTACCTTCAAAACTTTCAGTGTAGGATGACTTGAGAGAACTATTGTAATTTATATCAAAGTTATCAAGATAGTGCACTATATCCTTAGAGATAATCTTTTTGGTATTGATTAAGTTACATATTCTACATGTTTCACGACTATTTATATATAATAATATTTAATTTTTTAAAAATTTTAAAAATATTTCAATCTTTATATATGTCAATATTTCACATATATTGTTTAATTGTGTAACTAAGGACTAGATTGGATTAGAAACTATCAATAAAGCAAATTTCAAATCTTATTTGTTATACTTAAAATGCGAATGTTTCACTGAACAAACTAAGATTACAATCATCGAGGTTGTGAGAAATTATAGACTGTAATGACATAGTTGGAAGATGATGAAAATAAAATAACCTTAAAAGAAAAAGAGGAGAAAAAAAGAAAAAAAAGACATGTCGATTCTGACATTTTATCGATATTTTGTCGACATGTCGACGACATAGGGGGAAAATCGACTTTTTCCCTCTATGTCTTCGACATGTCTGTCGACATTTTGAATTCTGATCTTTGGCGATCAAAGATCTTATTTTGCATCTTTAATCTTTGTGATTAGTCAATTTTATTCTAATATTCGATTTTAAGTCGAAATTATTCCTTTTCGACTTATTTCGCCCATAGGTATTTGTTACATTGACATCTCGAATTTTATCCGTCCTTTAACCAAGTGTATTTTGTATATCTACCACTATTCCAATTCTTACTAATTAATTAATAGTTAAAGCGCTAATTTTCAAACTAATTTCGACAGTCACAATTTGCGGCAGACAAAAAATATTGATAATAAAAATTTGAAGGGGATGAAACAATATTTTAATTTTTTTTTTCTGATTTTTAGTTTTTACATAGAATAATAAATGGACAAATTATTATTATTTATTTAATACTTGAATGCACAGTGTCCTTGAGATGTAGTCCTTGGTTAGTGAAAGTGTTGAAAAAGACCCAAATCCCCAAAATTACCCTACCTTACAATCCGGCCCAGCTTGACTTTATTGTGTAAAAATATTTTATAACAAATTTAAGTTGATTTTTTTTTTTTTGAGTAGGTTGGGATTTGAACCCACCACCCTTTTTGATGGCTTATGTGAAAATCAATACCTAAGTGGGAGTATAGCAACATGTGGAGTGAGATTTTACGTATGGAAGTTAAAGTGAGCATAGTTAATTAGCATATATCTCGAACTAAAAGGTCATGAATTCAAATCTCTGTACTAAAAAAATGTATGGAATATTTAGAAAAGAAAAAATACATAGGGACAATTCCTCACTATCTTGTTCATTTGCAATAAAAGAAATATATATATATATATTTTAGTACAACAAATAGATGGAGAGATTTAAACTCTTAACCTGGTTAAAATCTTGTGTCAATTACTGCTGAATTAAGCTTATGTTATGTAATAAAATATTTTCTTTATACAATGATAAGAAACCATAAATTTTTTGGAAAGATACTATTTTACCGATCTAATCACAAGTATCTAATATATTCATACCCAACGATTTTAACTGAACTAATACTCAAGTTAAATAAACTAGCAACAACTCAAATCTGCTAGTTATAAAAAAAATTATTGAAATTAGTATTTGATTTTAATTGGTGTCTCCTTTTGACCATCAATTATAAAAACAACCAGTTTAAAATCTATAAAACATTCACCACCTTTTAAGCTTTACATATCAAAATAACCAAACAAACTCTTAAAACGAGTTTTTTCTTTACCATTTTTCAAAAAAGTAAACAATCCAAACCAACCTGTCTTGTATCACAAAGTTCATAGGTCAAACGAGAGAGGGACCCGTTTTAGACGCAGAGAGACGAGAGGCACCATCACAAAGCTTCAACGGCGGTGTCGTCCAACACTTTGAACTCACCTTTTTAGCAGCTCGGTGAAGCCATCTCGAATCAGACCGTTGGTACCTTTTACATATTTTTTTCTTCCCTTCATTTTAATGAATATTCGGACTAACTTGCACACACCCGAACGATATTTCAACAGTACCGACTTGTATTATTACAATTTAGAACATTCCTCCAATGCAAGCTCAAATACATACAAAAAATTAGAACGTTAGGTTCAGTTCCTTTTCCCATCATATACTTTTTGCTCCCCATTCCTAACTTGGACAACCAACCATTTGAAAATCAAAACATCTCGAGAGCTTTTGTTTTATCTTCAAATCCACAATCATCATACATCGAAGGAAACTTAGCTAGAAGTAACCAATATCTCTATATTTAAAGCAGCAGCTCCTAGACCAACATGTGGTTATCGCCAGTTTAAACCGACTTGCATCAATCCCTCACGTCCATTAAAACAGACTTTCCTTGTATTGCCGTCTCTTTAAATTTGATACACAGTCTGCAGCTAATGAATCTTTTCCGAGTTGCTCAGATTCAAATGTTAAAATCAAGGTTCTGAGTCTTCAAACCGATAATAATTAGTCGGGATTCTCCTAATCATTTGACAGTCATCTGCGTCGTCTCACAGGAGACCTAGATCTTGATCTCCTTGCCCTGCATGATATGTATAGTTAGTCCTAAAGAACAATTATGGACAAAGAATCTGAAGCATCCATTGGAGCAGCTTACTGTTATGAGGATGAGTGTGCATATGTCTTGAGAACACATACACAAACTTAATCTATGAGACATTGCGGCATACCTGGTGGTTTCAAGAGAAGAGAAGGGGGAATGCCTGCGCTGAGAGTGCTTGCTATGTGGTGACCGCGAAACTTGTCTAGAAATGAAAGCATCCATTATACTGATTTGGTGAGTTAAACATGCAAAGCTTAGAAGACAGGTGCTCAGCCTCGTGGCAGTGTATGTAAAACTTTACAGGAAACTGTTTGTTAGCATAAACCATCAAGGATAACCTCATTCTTAATGTGAAGGAGAAGAGCATGGATTGGGAAATCCGCATCAAAAGAAACAGAGTTTTAATTCACAGGATTTTTTTCAACTCCTGCCGTAAATGATGAACTTGAAAGAATTCATAAGAAAATATCACAGATTTGCTTTTAATGTGCTAGAGCCCATCAGACATTCTCGACACAATAAACAAAACAGTGATGATGCCCATATCTTCCAATTTTCCAAGAGATGTATTCTATGAACTGCAGATAGGACTGCTTAATTCTTCACTTTAATCATAACGATTAAGTCACCAAGCATTATTAGTAGATTAATTTGGAATAATATATTTTTGTGGTTGAAAAATAGAAAGAAAATGAGATTACACAGCGAACCTCCCTGGAACACCAACCAGCAAAAAAGTGAACTAGAAATTTAGGATTTAGAATACCTTCTCTTAGACCTGATTGGAGATGGTGATTTGTCACGTTTTCTTGAATTCAACTTCCTGCAGAAAGTAACTATGCATGAAGTCCCAAACGACCTTTTCAAAAGGGAAGAAGAATAGGAACTTATACAAGAAATACCTTTTTGATTCATCCGAGTCATCACTTGAATTGGTCGAATGATCAACTGCCTTGCCTTTATTTCTGTCTCTACTGCTCTTGTGCCTACTTGAATCACTTGAGATTTTCTGTCTCGTTCTACCTTCCTCATCTTTGGTGTACTCCCTTTTTCTGTCACAATCTTTAACGCTAGCCCTCAGAAGCTTGTCTTCTCTTCTTTCCTCCTTTGAATTGTGATGCGTAGACCTGTGTCTTGAGTTGGAATCCTTACCTTTTTCACCAGACTTAACACCTTGGTCCTTCAATTTTTCCTTTTGGACATTCTGGTCATCTGTTTCTTCCTTCCTCAGGGTCCTGTGGTCTTGCTTCAGACGATTTTCATCTGGTCTGTCATTTGACCTAGTATTTACCTCCCCTTCTTCCTTAACACGATCTTTCCATGAAGAACCCCTCATACTCTCCTGCTTGCCACTATTATGAGGTTTTATTTTAGTTCCCCCATCTTGTGGATCTTTAAATCCTTTTTCAAAATTCACATTCTTTCCATGCTGTTCAGGTACTATGTCTAAAGCATCCTTTGTCCCAGAGGCAGTTCCATCACCAAGTTCTATTTCATTATCCTTACCTTTAGAGCTTGGCTTCAATGAATGTTCTTGACCCATTTCTCCATCCACCCAATCACCATTCGACTTATTGAAGGCTGTGCTTTTACTCATTTCATTAATTGAACTGATTGAACCATCATTGATGTCACTTGTTACATGATTTTCACTGTGCTCTATAACATTTATTTGAGTGCTAGCATTTCCAACTACATCCTGCATATTTCCTAAATTTTTAATATCAACCTTTGTCTTGGAACCTTGGACACTTGCACTCTGAATTTCACCATCTCCATCATCATTTTTTTCATCATCGGAAACATAATTTGCAAGACCGAGTACATCTCCAGGTGAGCTGGAACTCGACTTTGCACTAGTATCATCATTATCAGGTTCCTGAACTTTGACTGCCATCAAAACCTTCGCAGAAGCTTTGGGAGTTGAGACTGGCAAGGTAGATAAAGAGACATTCTGATTTGAAGTGACTAGATTGAGTTTGGCTGAATGGAAAAAAGAAAAATAGCGTGTGTAAGATAGAGGGAGACAGGATAAAAGTAGGCCGACAGGTTAATACTTGTTAAACTTCTGAAGCACTGGTACTTGAAATGCACATAAGTTGGGGGGAGGGGGGCAGATAACAGACTAACAGTCACCTTCAACAGCCTGATCATCTTCGTTGAGAACTTTCGTAGCGATTTCATCAAACAGTTCGTCAGTAACCTGTGTAGAAACCATGAAGTCAGTTCTCAGACACACATATGGCAAGAGCAATTTATTAAGAACAGGACACAGGATCCTCCTCAAATGGTGATAAGAAGCAAATCACGACAGAAACAAACAAGATGCCAAAAGTCTACATTTCCTATGCTTAGATCAATAACAATAAGACATTTGTGAAAAAGCCAACAGGAATCCAAAATTCTTTTGTTTCTTCCCAACCAAATATGACACAGCGAAAAAGGTCTTCTGGCACCCTTCCACCAAAAAAAATCCCAAACTTAACAAAGAGATTACGTTCAAATAAAATGTCCAATATACATCAACGTCAAATGGTAATTCCGCTTCCTTGGAACTCCACAAAATAGAAACAACTGGATTCACAATCTGCTAGAAAGTAATACATGAGAGTTCTCCAATACCCGTTGCAAAACATGATAGACCAAAACCAAATTCCAAAGAGAGATACTCAGATTCAAGAAGAGATTCATATATCACAAAACTCCTTCAGAAGAATGAGGAAACAAAGTACCAATTCAGACTTCATGATTAAACAAAAGCTGATGTGAGGAAACCAGATTTCAGAATAGTTATTGATTTGCTGAAAATATGTATGCAAGGTTTAGCAAGAAAACCTTTAAAAGTACTTCGGTCAGCACGCGCTTGATTTCTTGATTTATTGCTGCAGTTCTGGCTCCTTCTACATAATCCTGCATAGCATAAAAATGATGAAGTCCACGCTCAAGGAAGAACAGAGGGAAAATCTCATCTGGATAAATCATAAAAATATTCATCCTTAGCCCCCCCATCCACAAAACAGTGCGTGGGTGAGCATTTATATCATTCAGAAAATAAAATACTATGTAGAACCTCATCTTCTTCTTCTTCAGTTGACCTAGAAGAATCAATACTTTTACTATCAGTTTGATCACCCTTCGTGGAAGACTTGTCAACTCCTTGATCCTCCATGAGTTCAGTTTCCTCCTTTGCATGGTCAGCAGAAGAGCTTGTGATGACTGCTTTCTTGATTTCCTCTCGGAGCCAATTTGGCACGGAAGCCTAAAGTTGCAGGATTAGTTAACTAGCAGTTTATCATATTTCCAGTATCAGATGGTGTGGTTATTTACCTTTTTTGGGCGTTCGGACATATTTGAAATGCCATATGTGTCACCAGATAAGACTGTGGGAGGAAGTGCAGCTCCAGCAAATGGTGTAGCAGCAGCAGGAATTGCAGGGGTGATGCTAGAACCAGCAAACCTTCCAAATGGGGGTGGTGCGTGTCCAGGAACAGAAGGTATAGGTACTGGAGGATCAAGCTGAAAATTTACAATTTTCAGCACTTTATCTTGATGATCTAGAACACACACACAAAAAAAGAAAAAAAAAACAAACAAAAATCATAAAATAAATCCAGAACCTGTGTTCCAGAAGCCAAAATAGGAGGAATTGGTGGGTAAACCATGCCAGGAGCTATAGAAGACCAAGAATTTAAGGAAGGAAGCGTGACACCAGAATCAATGCCTCTAGTGGATCCAGCTGAATCATGACGAGCAAAGCCAGATTGCATTCTTAGACCATGATCGTGACTGAACCTAGGAGCAAAATCTAAAGGCTGATCTGCAAGATTGGTCATGGTATCAGCTGGCCCTGGCTCGTTGCCATATGCATAGGGCGTAGGAATAGAGGGTTGGAAATGCTGCTGTCCATCATGAACTGAGGAATTTTGTAGAGGTAGTGATTTGAAAGACTGTACATTTTGATCTACTATGTCTTCTTTACCTGTCATTAGGTGTGTTGAGATAAAATTGAACAATTAAGACGAAACAAAAGTGGCACCAAGAGATAATGAAAGGTAAGACTAAACGATTAAGACTCCTAATGTTTCATGTAAAATAAATAAATAAGACTCCTAGTATTTAGAACATAGGAACAAATCTCAGCTTCAAACAAGCTCCTGTACACTGGAGGATTGAAATGTTTGGGCAAGTGTACAATTGGCAACATAACTCTCAACATGATATGATTCTGAAGCCAATCACATTCTTTATTGTGGTAAGCTGAATACAGAACACAGTTTTCACCTAATATTATTTTTCAAACACTTATTAGAAAAACTATTAACAAGATGTGCTTCACTAAAAGACCAGCTGTTCTAAGTCTTGGAATCTAGACTGGACACTGATTAAACTCGAAGAAAGTATCAATAACGATCATTCTGCTCTTTTTCTGTGTTTGTGTGTTGGGGGAGCGTTCTTTACCTCCATTTTAGAGAAAAAAGGGAATGGTAATAATACAACGACAGTAGTAATAAAATTCATAGTGATAGATGCCACAGAGAGTTAATAATAACAATAAGTATTATTTAAATTACACCCAAAAGAATCTTCCCTCTGCTATAATAATCACCCACCAAAGAGTTTCTTGTGGAAGAGAAGTTTTTTCTTTTTTTCTCTGGAAAGGGTGGGGGTGTACAACACTGAGGGAAACAATTTGAGAAAATGGGGTTAAATATCAAGAAGGATATACATGTTGAACCCAATTCAGTTAATAATACAAAAAGAATTTCTATTCGGTTATTACTAAATGAGTTCGAAAGCAGAATTCTTCAGCAATAGCACCACCCATACACTAGTGAATCATTACCTGTAACAGAATAATTACTAGAAGGTACCTCCTGCTGATGAACCGATGGACTTGAAGATAACTTTCCTTGGTGATGGAAAACAGAGTTCATGTTGCCTCCAAAGTTACCGTCACTGACTGAGTAAGGTGGATGCCCATCTGAAAGATAAGAAGATTGTTCGTTGCTAACAGTAACAGGTGTGGAGTCCAGGTGATGAGCTGCTGGTGGCCGGGCACCAGATGTGGCTGAAGCTGGAAACTGTTCATAAGTTGGAGGAAGTGGTTGATTAGACATATCTGGATAGTTAGGATTAACAGGTTGTGAATACTGTTCATGATAATAGTTCTGTTCTTCATGTCTTCCTATAGGTGCAAACTGAGATTGCTGGCTCTCCATTGCAGTCTTCGCATCTGCCCATGCCCTAGCTTTTGCAGCCCAATCTTCTTCATTGCCGTGGGCTGTTATCAAAATATTCAAAGAAAGTGTACAGAAGCCAGCAAAATGAAGGGACGCTAATATTTCAAAGGAGCAAAAAGAAAGCCTAAAATATGCAACATAATAATAATAAAATTCATAAAATAATGAGATTCAGACAACACAATAATACAACTTAAAAAAGTGAAGTGGAGACATGATGCAGATAGTACAAGTTAAGAGTCTTGGTTATCCTTCGTGCCACACAGATAAACCATGCAGACCATCGATGATATGCAATTCATTATTAAAAGTGTTTCATATAGAAAAGAACCGCAAGAATAGCATCAATACTTATTACTTAGTCAGACGACAGGTAAAATCTTGCAAACTGAGGAAGGCTCAAGTAAAAGAGCAATAATCTATCAAGAAACGGTATCAAGATATTAAACTCTTAATCAGCAATCTTGAAGAAAATTGTATTAAAAGTCACTATTATGAACCGTAACAAACCTTGATATTCCCAGCCCTGGTGCGGAGCCCAACTCTGATTGTTCCATTCCTGCAAGAATTAAAAGTGAGGTTGACGTGCAAAGGAAAAACCATAGTTATACCTATTTCATAAACAACCATTTTATCACACAAATGTAAAGATATGACTAGCATGTTCAAACATAACATACAGAAACTGCATTGATGCGCCTCACAAAAATATTAAAAGATAGATAAAGGAACCTAAATCGATACATCCCCACTCCAATAACCATCAAAACAGTTACTCATATCACCAGCCAGCTGATGGCGTTAAATTCCCACAAGTAATGGAAGTAGTCAAGGAAGTAAGAAGTTTCCGAGTTAGCAAAAAATTCATCCAAAAAACAACAAAACTTGCCTGATTCACACGAGAATAAGACTGTGGAACCTGGGAATGAGAAGGGGGGTGCTGAAACATAAGAGGGCGAGGAGGAGGAAACTGGCTGTGGTGGATAGGTTGGGAAGGATAAGGATGAGGAGGTGGAGGATAAGCGCCGGGAGGAGGTGGAGGAGGCAGAACATGGTCGGAATGAGGCGCCGGCGGACCCCACTGCGACGGGGGTGGCGACGGGGAGTGCGAAGGATGGTATTGGAATTGGTTGGGGAACCATGGACCCTGCGGCGGAACTGGTGGCCTTAACGTTGACTGGTGGTGGTGGTAGGGATCGGCGGCGGAAGGCGGTGGCGGAGGTGGCGGAGCCCTCGCAAAAGGGCGACTCTGATGGTAAGAATCCATCGGCGTCGATTACTGGCGGGTTCTTGAGATACGGTGCTCACTGCTCAGTGGAGGAATACGGAGGTTCAGGCTCCCGACATTATTACGACGCCCTGCGGGAGAAGGGGGGATTTCAGAGGAAGAGGCAGCCCGAGGAGTCCAGTATGGTGGTGAATTGCAGCCGGTTGTCACCGTTACGTTGCCGTTAGAAATGGATTCCATTCCGTCTGTAGTGGGGGTTAAAAGCTCAACGACGACTTCGACTTTCTTTCTTCCCAAATTGGGCCTAAACTTCACTAGAAGCCCACAACTATTCACGAACGTTTTCCCTCGCATCTAAATCTTGTGAACATATTCCTCCTAGTTTGCCACAACTTGGTACCGCTCTCGCAGCCCGCACCGAAATAGTGCTTTACTCTTAGATGTTCAGTCAACTTCTGTACCTCAACGTATTTTAGGGAGAACCAGTTAGCTTTGGGTTCGAGTGACATTTCACCCCTAACCACAACTCATCTGCTGATTTTTCAACATCAGTCGGTTCAGACCTCCATTTAATTTCACCCAAACTTCATCCTGGTCATGGATAGATCACCCAGGTCCATAAGCAGTAACAATTGCCCCATGAAAGACTTGCTTCCGCTACGGCTCCGATGAGTTCCCTTAACCATGCCACTACCTATGAGTCATCAGCTCATTCTTCAATCGGCATGCGGTCAAAGTCCTTGTCTCCTCACACTGCTTGGAATCTTACAGTTTCATGTTCTCTTTCACTCCTTGATGGAGGTTCTTTTCACCCTTCCCTCACGATACTACTTCACTATCGGTCACCCAGGAGTATTTGGCCTTGCAAGGTGGTCCTTGCTTTTCTTTAGTACAACAAGATTCCAAATCACATTTGAATAATATAATATGTGTTTAATTTTTAAAAATTTTCATTACATTTCTAAGCTTTGTAAGAATAGTGTATAGTCTCTGTGGTTAATACCGATACTAACTTTTATCCTCGATTGAAAGGTTGAAAGTTCAAATTTATACCCCACATATTATTAAATTAAAAAAAAACTAATACTTTTAAAGCTACAATGGGTGCCAAAGTGAGCATAGTTCAATGGTAATTGGCATATATCTCAAACTAAGAAGTTGTGAGTTAGATCCCTCACCCCACGTGTTGTACTAAAAAAAAGTTACAACATGTGTTCTTTTCTTCTTCTTTTTTTCCTTATATTATTATTGTTGTTTTTTTAAACCAGGAGATAAAAGATTTGAACCTTCCACTTATTTAAAAGATTACATTGAGCTATGTTCGAATGGGTGGATGAAGTAACTTTTTTTTAGTACAACAAATATGACAATTGAGGATTAAACTCCAACTTTTAGGCAAGACGCAATCGGAGAGAGAAAAATTAAAGGAAAAATTTGAAGATTGAATGGATTATCTTAAACCTGCCTCAGATACTTTAGGCAAGGTTCTTTACTTCATAAGGTGGTTCCCTCTATGGTCTAGGAATTCAATTTTTGGCTCCGTAACATTGAGATCAACCTCAAAGAATTACAAATTAGAAGCCTTAAGTAGTCCTCGAAGAGTCCGTATATCCTCTCCGTCTTCGCTTTAAAAGACATATTGACCCATTTGAATTTCTCTGAGATCTCCCCCAATTTTGGGAAAGCTGGTGGCACCTCATCGTAGATAGTGTAAATGAGAGCCACTTTAATATCCCATTGCAGCTTCTAATCTATCTTATCTCGAAGAAAGCTTGATGCAAAAGAGGTGTAGCATTGAACCGCTGCTTGCTTACCTAATGCGTGAGCCAGAAAATGGAAAATACCTTAATGTTTAGCTATACCATATTGACGGTGGGATAAAGTGACTTCACTAGAGTGAGATAAGTTGAGATTATTGGTCAGACAGAAAATCAGGACTCAATAACCTGCCTAGTCCATCTCTTAAAACTGCAGCTAAATCTAACAATTAGGACCATTTACATTTAGACCTATTTTTTTACCCTTATAATTTGAATTGTAAAAATTCAAAACTCAACAAGAAGCACCAAAACATGAAAGTCAAAATTTATCGCATATGAAAGTGAAAAGTAATCGCATCTGTAAGCTTAAAATCAATTGGACGACAATAAGCACCAAAACACTGTACAAAAAAAATGATACAAGCGTACAAATATTGGGATTCTGCCTTAAACTGAATAGCTAAATTGAATGTTTCATGGGCTTGAAATTTGTATTGCTATAATTCCTTCTGTGATAGTATGCGCCTGTTTCCCTTTTCCGAAGCCCTCAGTCTCAGAATGCTGAGTTGGTTAGCAGTTGAAAATTTGCTTCACCTTTGACGAGAGCTAAATTAGAAATACACAGGCAGCCTCATTCTCATGCCACTGCATCAGCCTGTCTTCTAGTCAATCTTGCATACAAGCCATCCTTCAGGAGAAGCTCCTTGTGAGTGCCCATCTGTGATGGAAAAATCAATAAGACAGTTTCACTCCATAGCGTAAAGATTCTAAGTTTTGAGCAACACGGCGGATTGAGATATACGAGGTCACGGGTGAAGTCAGAAATTTTCATAGACAAGGACAAGATTTTATGTTGGATTTATCGATCTCTTAAGCGAGACTGTGGGTGATTGGTTGGCTTAGCTTTTCAAAAGAAAATGAAGATAATAACAAATAAGAAGCAAGCTAAAATTTTGAAAAGATATTTGATGAATGTCATCAAAAGCTTAGACTAAATAGAGGGCAGAACAACCTCAACTATCTGACCGCCATCCATAACCACTATCCGGTCAGCAGCTTGAATGGTTGAAAGTCTGTAAAAGAATAGCAAAGTTTGAACTTTCGACCCGCAAGAAACTTATGCAGCAGAGGCTATTTTAGAGAACTTACCTGTGTGCAATAATTAAGACGGTTCTCTTCATCTTCGAGTCATTTCTCACAGCACGAAGAACACCCTGAATAATGTCACAAGCAACAAGTAAGCAATCCCTCGTGTTTCTCACTTACCGCATGCCCGTGTCTGAAAGTAATAAGAGAAGGGAGAAAGTTGCAGAGAACATTCTCGAGAGGAGAAAGGTAATAAACTCCACATAGCTATCAGATGACAGAAGCAATGTATTAAGCAAGCAACAAAAGGAAAAAAGGTACATGCAACCAAACGAAAGGAAAAGAGAATAACTACAAACTAAAGGGAAATAAAACAATGGATAGCATGTACTTTGATAGTGTGGATGCCCATTTTGTCCAAAAATAAGGATTCTGTTATATGTTCCTGCCAATTTCCCCAAGTGTGTGCTCAGTACACATTATCATCTTTATTTTACACGTACATTTTCTCAATTCTTGCTTTTTTGTGTGTAATACTAAATTCTCTGTATTCCATGAGCATATAATGATGTAGCCAGTGCTCTAGCCAATATATAAGCATTTCAACCTCGATTCTATAAAGTAGTTACCTTAACGTTGTGTTCGCTCTCAGCATCCAGTGCGCTAGTGGCCTCATCAAGAATCAAAAGGGTTGGATCCCTTAGAATAGCTCGGGCAATAGCTATCCTCTGCTTTTGTCCCCCACTAAGCAATTCATCATCAACAAGTGTTTGATAACCATTGGGCAGCGATATGATGAAGTCATGTGCAAATGCCTGCTTGGCTGCCCATTCAATATCCTCCTGTCCTACGTCTCGGGTACATCCATATTTGATGTTTGAACTGACATCCATGCGGAAAAGTTTAGGTTCCTGTTCAAAATTATCACATCAGAAGGTGAATGTTGAATAAACACTAGACTTCAAATTAAGATGAAAGTAATTACTGGACCTGCCCTACAAATCCGATTCTTTCTCTCCACCAAACAATGTCCAACTCTCTAAGAGGGTAACCGTCAATTAAAATCTGCAAATAGGTAAAAGATATTCAAATGAGAGAAGACATGAGGGCATCTGAATGAATCTTTACACTATTTCCACATCCTGCCAGACAAACTCATAGCAATTATTCTTGTGGGTGATGAATATTATTTTAGCCATTGGATAAAAACTTCCTTTTTCTATGATCCATTAACTTAAAGTCTTCTGTCCTGAACCAACACAAATTGCTTAAAATATATGTATATATTTTCACTAAAAGAAGGTACCAGAAGCGAGCCAGAAATTTTTACTGGGAAGGACAAAATTTTACGTTTAAATATTTTCTACCTACAATCTTTCAATTTTGAAAATTTAGGTGGTAAACTACAGAGAACTTTTAAGTGTTTTTTATGTTTTATTTCTAATCTAAAGTAACTAATAAGAGGGCGACTTCTTTGTTCTGCCCTGACAACAAGCTAAACACATTACCTGCCCATTTGTTGGTTCGTAAAGCCGGAGTAAAAGATTTACCACCGTGCTTTTGCCACTGCCACTAAGACCAACCTAACAAAAAAAAGTAACAAATAGCATCAACTTATTGGTCACTGCATGAGCCCATTTTTCCGTCAAGTAAAAGGAGGGAAAATACTTACTATTGCTATGACTTCATTGGGATGCACTGAAAGGCTTACATGTTGCAGTACAGACACCTGTTGAAGTGTTTGTATAAAAAATTGTCTCATCAAAAGTAGCAACAAAAGAATCCCAAAAGTCCAGGGATAACAATATAACACTCATCTAACCACTATAATGTGATACGGCCGGCATTGTCACAATAAATTAAGAATAAATTATTATCAAGAAATGTGGAAGGTTATCATCTGAATTTTACCTAGCAAAAAGTTTTAAGCATGCAGATGATTGTTGGAATGCAGAGTAACTAAAAGAAGTCTGTTGCGGAAAGGGGAAAGAAAGTAAAGTAGTTGATAGAATGCTTTCTTATAGGCCTAACCAATCAAGTAATATCTTCCAGTATGACTACACCTATAATGGCCTGCTCCTCATACTCCTAGAACACATACTGTTCCAATTTTATCAGATGTCCCCAAAAGGACTACTGCTAGAAACATGTAAAGTCCAGGTGTATATATTTATTAAGCTAAAGTTGAACCTTAGCAAAATTATCCATAACAACACTTGTAAAGGTAAAAAACTCTTAACAAAAGAATCTTCATGAGCAACTAGATGACAATAGGAATTATGTTGATGTTACCCTTAACTTGCTGATAAAACAGATGCTACACTTGATCTAAGCCAGAAGGTCAAGAAAGGTATATGGTGATATTATTCTTTCACACGAAGAAAAAAAGGTTATCACCAGATTTTTCGAAACATAAGAAATCAGAAATACAATGCCAAGCCCTCCTAATCCTAATATTTCAGGAATTGAGCAAAGATATTGGACAAACTGTTGTAGATCATGGTAGGCACTACTACGAGAAACAAGAGTGTTCAAAGAAGTGGTTGGTTCAAAGAAGTTGTGGATGGACTGTTTACATCTAAGAAGAAATTTACCGTTGGCCTTGAGGGATAACTGAAAGAAACATCCAAAAATTCAATGTGTCCTGTCAGTTTCTGCAACTTTATTCCTGTAAATGTTTGTCCAGTCAATAAAAATTCAACATAAGATTTCAAGCATCTGAGTTCTATGTGCTTTCACCTTTTTGCTTCCACACCATATGATAAATGAACAGCCCAAAAACCATCAACAATGAAGATAACCATTTCAAGAAGAAGATAAAAGGACAAAGCAAGAACATAAGCAACATTTGGACAGCAAGGACGTTTTTGTAAAGCTAGGTTTACAAATCTGGAAAAGCAATTGCACCATGAAATATTTTGCACAACCAAATAAAAATAATTTTATGTAACGCAATATCTTGAACCTTGGTGTGGGAAATTTCTTTTTTTCATTTTCCTCCTTGAACTAACTCAGATTCCAAAACTGAGACTTCAGAACACAAAAAGATATGGTAAAAACACATTTTTAGTCCATGTTCTCTACTGCCATTTTCATCCTTTTTGTAATGATTTAGTTCCTATATTTTTAGAAATACAACATTAAAGTTTTTTACATTAACAAATTATCTTCAATACGCCATTTAGCACTCAATTATTAAGATTCTTATTGATGAATAAAATCCTCAGTTGATCTTTTTTATATATATGTATTTCCTTTTACATATTGGAGTTATCAAGAAACAGACTAGGCGCTTTCATTTTATTCCTTGTTGATTGACAATTCAAAAATTTGACCAGGAACTCAATATGAATGAATACAATAAAGCTCAATGCTGGTAAATTAACATTACTCAATGTCTGAGAGCGATACAAGGTAGAAACTTTCTTCATGATTGTTTGTCAAAAATATTGATCAAATGGCTGGTAGTGAATAGTTTCTCGAAGTATAGTTAACTAAATTTACATGTGCCTAGGTATATAAATATTAGCATGGCGTACAATTTGGTGAAGAGAACACATTTTACTATTTAAAAGCCATAACAACATTAGGATTTTGCATGTGTTAGTTGTTATTGCGTGTGGCAAACCTATCTGAGGCATATTTCAAACTAATGAAGACAATCATGCAGCAGATTAACTTCATCAAATGAATACTGACGACCTAACATCTCTATCAAAATTCAGTTAGTAGCTTGCCTTGTGATACAAATTGGTCACTGGGCAAGAGATCCATCAATTGGAAGACCTTTTCGCTTGCCCCCACAGATTGCATCAATGAGGATAAATTGTCCCCTACCCACCATGTTGAATAAATTAGCCATTCACTATACAATATAAACTTTGTAAGTTGTTCAGCTGTTATACGACCAGATAGAATAAACATCCCTCCTAACAGCACAGCAATGACCTAGAAAGGGAAAAGATGTCCAGAATGTTAAAAACAAACAAAAAAAACAAACAATTATAACTTATAAGAGTAAGAAAGCAGCTGAAGGGTAGGGGACTATATCCTATTAGCAAAACTAATACATCTAGAATTCAGGTTGATTTTTAAGTGTTCCTAATAGTTCAAATATGTTTTTTTTTTAACTTTAACTTTTTGTTATTTTTTTAAAAAGTTGGAATATGTTAAAAGGTAAATTTTTGGGAACATAAGGATTCTTTAATCGTAGCACTGCCTTTCCAAAGGGAAAAAAAATCATAGCATAGGAGTTCGTAAGGAAGTGGCCGTAACTATTGTTAGTATGTTATCATTTTAACATCATGTTTCTATCTTTAGTACAATGTATGGCTATTTTATAATAAATGATTGTGATAATAACAAAAGAGCTAAACCTGAGTCGCATGATAAAGAAAATTGAAGCTAAAATTCCAAAGACCATATCCTGCACTCTGTCTTAAGCTCACATCCGCTAATCTTCCCAACCACGTCTCATACCTAGGCATTAATGAATGGGCATTTATCAGTCTGAAAAACCATACACCTTTTGACTTATTATGATTAGACATGTTTAGAAAATCTATATTTACTGACAGATATTATTGATAAATAAAAGTAGATAAGGCTTGTAACACTATACTACCTTCCAAGTTCCTCCTTCTCGGTCCCATAAACACGAACTGTTCTGATCAAAGACAATGTTTCTTGTGCAACCTATTGTGAAAATTAGAATTTTTGTTGATCAAAATTTGGAATATAACATCATCAACTATGAAGTATAAAAAGTTTTACTGTACATCGTTGGAAGAAGCAGTGAAATCTTGGACCATCTTTGCTGCCTTCTTCTGATATCTATGATGAAGGACATGCATCAAGATATTACTTCTAACAAATTGCTATTAAGATCACACAAATACAAAAATAACCACATGAAGGCAAGAAGATATTAATAAATATGATGAAGGATATGCATCAAGATATTAGTTGTAACAAAGTGCTATCAAGATCACACAAATACAAAAATAACCACATGAACGCAAGAAGATATTAACAAATATGCATGCGGATCTAACATGTCCACACGAAAGAGTGTTCCAGTATCTTGAGTAAAATGACACTTCTTTTGTTGTTTCACTAGTCTGCCTGTTACTCAATTGATTGAAAGGGTTTTCTAAGCTAACAGATGTAGGAATAAGATCATGAAGAAAGCCAACCTCCGAATTGTATGATATTGCTTGGAAAAAAGTCTAACTTTAAGAACACCTAATTGACATAGTTAAGCCCCTAAACATTTTCCTTGAAACGTTTCTGTTTTCCTTTTCCCATGCTAAAAATTTAGAATAAAGGGAGTTCTTTGATAGACACAAATTTTATGAATATATTGTCAATTGAATGGGAAGAAACAAATAAAGGTATGGACATCATTCTTACCGGCCATACACTAGCATAATTGCTCCTAAAGTGGAGCATATGATCAGTGTGCATAAACCAAGAGGCTTTGACAAAAGAAGCAAATAGATCAAAGCACCACCCCCCTAGGAAAAGAGAAAGATATCAGATTAAGAATTAGTAACCTTGCCAGACATTAGTTATTGGTTTACAAAAGAAAACCTGGAGAATATTGCGTAATATCAAATTAAGATCATTGCCAATGACTCTCGACACTTGCTGGCAATCAGCTCCAAGCCTACTTGTAAGATCACCGACAGTTTCACTGTCAAAAAATGATATATCCTACAAGCAAAAATATACCCAAATAAATAATTGAGAGAGAAAGAGAGAGATTTGAAGCAACTTGATGAATTGCACCAGTTGGAAAAGAAAGTTATTGAAATTGGCTTCTTAAATTCATAACCTGTTCTTATGAAAAAAAAATATATATTATTTAGAACCTGTAGAAGAAGGGCAGAATAAAGTTTTTCTCTTGTCCTCTTGACCTGCAGTTTATGAGAAACCTCCAGTCATTATGAAAGTCAAGCCATATCATGTTCAAATAGAAGTGAAAACAATAAATTTCAACCCACATAGCATCTGAATTTTAACCAAGTAATTCACATAGAATGAGGTATGTTTTATAGCATGTCAACATATGCAAGAAATCCTTAGAAGGTATAACAGGATATCTGGACAACATATGAAATGGAACCCTCATCCATTAAGCAATGTTCTATGCTGTAGAGACAAACAGCCTTAAACATAGTTCTTTCTTGAAACTCACCAGGATCATGTTGGCAACTCCGAAACAGTGACCTCGAAGACCACTGAAGTTCAAACGAACAAAGAATCAGGTCAATGCATCAGCATTTTTGTCACGGTATTCCACAAACATTATAACTTTGCAACAAATGGAGCAAAACTTGAAGCTTAAAATGAAAAATTTAATTCGCCAAAGGCCAATGATGTGAATAGATTTACACATTTGGCAAGTTTAGTTTCCAATTCATTAGCATAGAGTAGCTTCAATGCAAGAGAAGGGATCTTCGTCCATACAAGATTTTGACCTGCATAATCCTGACGTGACACACAAGAGCATCAAGACTTGCACATTCCTGTGAAATACTGAGATTTTGCCGCTGTCAGCAGAAAAAATTGTCGCTGTTAAGAAGTGCGGGATGGAGATCTCCGAAAGCTGATTGAGAAATTTTCAAGAGTCAGAAAACTTTAAAATTAAAGTCACAGACTTAATTATGCTTGGTCAATAAAAACCTTTAATTTAATCAATTGAAATGTAATGTCGAACATCACGGATCAAGTGACTTAACCAAAATCTATAACATAAATGTTGATTTATTGCAGAAAAATATCATTGCACAAGTCCTCAATTCCATTACAGTACCTTCCACATATAAGATTATACTCGCTTAAAGATTGCAACCATTAAGGAACTTATCGGCAGTTTTAACCATTTCAGAACTCATAATCAGATTCTGAAACTCGGACTCAGAACTAATGCCATGAAACACAATACTAAGAGTTAAAATAGAGAAGCAGAGAAGAGAGAGACCGCTGCAAAAACCAAAACAGAAAATGCGGTAAAGATAACCCAACGGTCTCTAGCAACAAGGTCCCACATCCTGCTAAGAGCCCGCGTCACAGTCACTGGCTCAACCGAAGTTCTGACTTCAGCTTCATCGGATAAGCTCCACCAGCTCCCACCAGGCAAAATTGAACGTAGATATCCAACCCATCCCCGAAGCTTATCTAGAATATCAAACTCAGTTCCGCCATGGGCCTCTTCTTGATCCTCCTCGGAAGCACTCGGCACAGAGATTCCATATCCGTTAATCGCCGACTTCGGAGGAGGTAAGAGGAAGCGGCAATTAATCGAGAAATGGTTCCAGCGAAGAACCGTATTGTTGGTGAAATGAAGTCCTCGGGAGCGAATTTTAGGGACATGTTGCTTCCGAGAAAGCAAAAGATGGGGACGAGGAGCTGGTGTAATGCAAATGAACGAAGACATGAGCGGAAATCAATGGCTTTAGATTAAAATCAATTACAAGCTCAGATGCGTTATCTGAAGATGCATGGAGGAGGACAAGAAAAGCCGCTGCAGTGTTTCAGCAGAACAGACCACGAGGATCACTCGCCGAGCCAGTAGAATCCTGGTCCAGCGGAGAAATTTTACATTTAAAAAAAAAAAGAAACAAATTCAACTTTGGAGACGACGTGTCGTCTACAATTATCAATCTTTCTCTATCTTGTGTTGTTGCGTTGCGATATTGGTGACTTACGCGTGGCGCCAAATTCCTAAGTAAAAGACGAAATTAACCTCATGAAATTCAAATATCTCTGATTGCTTTCGGGATCATGGCAGACTTGTGGATGGTATTTAAGTCTTTTGGGACCTGTCAGTACAAAAATGAAAAATATCTTGCCCTTAATCGTCTGCGGTAGCCGATATCTCTGAGTTGTTCCTTCCTTCCTTTCCTCGGCGTGCTCCTGCCTCGGCCATGGCTGTTGTTCTTGGAAATTGGGCTTTGTTGCTGGACGTAGCGTCGCCTCGGATTGTACTGAACGATCGCAAGGCTCGTCCTTTGGCCCTTGACGTTGTTTTGAGCTTGCACAAGAGAGACCTTAACGCCTATTATGCTGCGGTTGTCGGCAAAAGCTTCGAACCAGACGGTGAGCCTAGGAGCCAGAGAATCGTGGCTCGTGGAAAGTCGAATTCGAAGAAGAACGGTGGCGTCGATTTCGATGGCGATGAAGAGGAAAATTGGGACAGTAATGGGTTCGACGAAGAGGAGCAGTTCGATTGGGAGAAAGAAATGCGGAAGAGAGTGAAGGAGATAGAGGAGAGGAGAGAATTGGAGAAAAAAGCGGAGGAATTACAGAGTAAAATAGATGAAGAAGGAAGCGAGGAGAAAGAGGAACCCGAGGAAGAGAAGAGGATGAGAGTGAGAAAGGAGCTTGAAAAGGTCAGTTATCTGATTTTCGTCTGCAGTTTTAATCGGTTGTTAACTACCAATAAAACGTTAATTTATTATTCTTCCGTTTCATTGCATTGTTTATCCAAGCATATACAGCTTCTCTCTGGCTTCCATGCTTGAAATCTATTTTGTTTGCTTGAAAAACGTTTATGTTCTTCGGAGATGCTAAAGTTAATGGCGATTAGATACACTTTTTTTCTGTTTGCGGCTGAGCAGGTAGCCATGGAGCAGGCTGAAAGAAGAGCGACGGCGCAGCTGATGTTTGATTTGGGTCAGAAGGCATACGGCAGGGGCATGTACAGTCGAGCCATTGAATTTTTAGAAGGCGCGCTTACAATAATTCCCAGGTCTACTTTATTCGGTGGAGAGGTCAGTTTTCTGGTTCCAATGGAGTTCGAATTTGAACTTCCCTTTCGAGTTATGATCTTTACAGTTTACAGTTGCATCATTGTTGGCTGGAATACAACTTTTGCTTGTGGATTTCAGATCCAAATATGGCTTGCTATGGCTTATGAAGCAAATAACCGCCATGGAGAGTGCATTGCTTTGTACCGGCAATTAGAGAAGACGCATCCCAGTGTCAGCATCAGGCGGCAGGCGGCAGATCTTCGCTATATTTTGCAAGCACCAAAAATCAAGATATCTCAGGAGGAAATGGTAACAATACCTCTAATCGGTTCTAGTTACGACAGGTGATCAACTCTCTCTTTTGTGATGAACAAATATTTTCTGATCATTGTTTGGTCTCATTGGAGTCTTACTGTTCTATAGTTTCAGCATTAGCATGACTTAGAATTGACCTTTATGCATAATGCTTGTTATCATCGCATATCCTAGAGCTTCAATTAAGCATTTGAGCTACCGAGATGCCTGGCCTGCAATTTCACTATCAATCTCCTCATCATTTTCTAACATTCTTGTTAAAGAAACTTCATTACTGTCATCTGGAAGCCCCTAAAAACCCTCTCCTTTCAAGAATATGCAATTAAAAGATATATTAACATGTCTGCTAGTCTGAAGTTTATGGCTTGATGAAAAAACCTCCTATTTCTAATTTTAACTGAGAAATTAAAAGAAATAACGATAATTAAAAAACACAAGAATTTGCGCGAAAAACTTCAAACCAACTCTCTCAAAGCCCCACTCAACTAGTATACTGGGCTTAAAGTGTTTCTATTGTGATGAATATAAAACCCAGAGGCATGAGCCCATTTTATAGTTTGGCCAAAACCCAACAGTTTTGATTTTGGTAACCTGTTTTTCATTTGGTTAAAATAGACTTCCTTGTATTTTGTTTATCCGTAACATCATCTCACTCAAATGTTTAATGAAACAACATATACATGAATTATGGACAAGCCAATAAAATGCATAGGCCCTTTATGATTCGACGATTATTTGTCTATTCATATATCTCACAGTTACAAAAACAACAAGATCCCGCACCGTGCTAAATTGTTGAAGAAGAAGTTAAAAGACCAAAACAACCAAAAAGATGTTTTGGCCTTTTCATTTTCATGTTTTCTTGTTTTGACCCTTTCAAGAAGAATCCTGTTCTATGCGTAATAAGCCATCCTGAGACTAGTAGTACTCTCTGTTCACATGGTGCAAAAATTGCGTATTGGGTTTGGTTTCTGAATACAGAAATGTTGAAAATGCACTTAACTTTGAATGTCCCTATTCAGTACTCGTAGCCAAGGCTGTCACGTGGCTTCTAACAAGATTCGTGATTGATGCAGCTACGCAGCAACGTGGAGTGACAAGAACAAAGACAAAGACCAGAAGGGAAGCTGGTCGACCACGAATCAGCTGCCGTCGTCTCGGGACTATTTGGGGGACTTTCTAGTTTGGCGACCTCCCATTGGCTTGGGAAAAAGCCAAGCCTTCTGGGTGGGGCTGACCTTGTGGATGGGCTTGGTTGCTGCTGCCCTTTTACTTCAAAAGTGACCACTCTTCAATTTGTAAATATTATTTTATTTTTAGATCCTCATGTATTATTGTATTATTCATTCGAGTGTGCTGGTGGGGTTTTCCTATGTTTTGACGATCCTTTCATATAATATAAGTTCTCAAAACATTTATAAGCAAATTTGATTAGCAAAACATTTATGAGCAAGTTTGTTTAGTGCTAATCAAAATGTATGACGATCCTTTCATGATTGTGTTTTCTATAACTCTCATATTAATGTTATTTATAAACTTTTTTTTCTTTGGAATGTGTAGAAAATAGAATACATCTTATAATTGTGTGGAAAGGATGATAAAAGAGATGCTAATTGAAATTATGTTGTGGAAGTATTATGAACATAACTAGATCAAGTATTTTAATTATTAGATTGTGAATGAAATGGGAATAATGATATATTATATTTGTATTTAGTTAAGTACTTAATTTTGATTAGTTAGTTTTATTAGTTTGTTAATGGGATATTTTATAATTAATTAGTTCTTTTATAGCACGACTACAATAGCTTCTTTAAAATGTGACGACATACTTGATTGAAATCAATAGCTTCGTAAAAATAGTCCTAGACAATCCTAAATCTTGCACGTTGTACAAAGATTAAATTGTGTACTCACATGTCACGAGAAAAATAGGACTACACATAGGTTAGTTGATCGACTACCAGTAATTGCGAAAATATGGAGCCTCCTTTTCCCTTATAACTTCGAGAACTAATTCAATATAAGCTGTTTTTTCCCCCTTATATTTAATTTAAAATAATTTGATATTTAATCTTCACCTCATTCAAGAAACTTTTTGATATCTAGTTGATTAAAGTACCTATACAAAGGGTATTGTTATTTGTAGTAAACAACATCCAATACAAATTCATCTTATAAATCATTATCATGCTGACAAAAGTAATTAAATCGCCGTCTAAATGAAAAAAATAATAATAAATCGCTGTCTAAAAAAAGTAATTTTGTTGTTGGTTGAGGAAAAAAAAGTAATTAAATCATATGGATTAACATAAGTTCGGTATTTTTATATTACATTTGACCTTTTCCCCTTCTATTATGATATTTTTATAAATTTTAAACTATCTCTAATACATATTTAATTTACGATATTTTTATGAATGCCTCTATTTGAAATACTCGTATGAAAAAAACAAATATTAACAGATATTTAAAAAATAAGCTTATTCAAATTATTAAAAGAAAAATTCAAAATTTACAGAATGAACATACATCGTGATAAATTTTTATTTGGGCTTCTCAATGGGCCGATGAAAGCATATTGGGCTTAACACCAAGTCCAACAGAATTCGTCCTGAACCTCATCATTCGCAATATCTGGAGGCCCAAGCCCAAGCCAGAAGATCATTCAACTATTCCCCAACTGATATAACCCCCCAAACCCTATCGTCTCTCCATCTCCTCCGAGCCGCCGAACCCTGAGAGAGATCCGCCATGACGACTCGCTTCAAGAAGAACAGGAAGAAGAGAGGCCATGTGAGCGCCGGTCATGGTCGAATCGGCAAACACCGAAAGCATCCAGGTGGTCGGGGAAACGCCGGAGGTATGCACCACCACCGGATCCTCTTCGACAAGTATCACCCTGGTTATTTCGGTAAAGTTGGTATGCGTTACTTCCACAAGCTTCGTAACAAGTTCTATTGCCCGATTGTAAACGTCGACAAGATCTGGTCCTTGATCCCTCAAGAAGTGAAGGATAAGGCCTCCAAAGACAACGTTCCATTGGTCGATGTCACGCAGTTTGGGTATTTCAAGGTTCTGGGCAAGGGTGCCTTGCCGGAGAATCAGCCTATTGTGGTGAAGGCCAAGCTTGTGTCCAAGAACGCCGAGAAGAAGATTAAGGAGGCTGGTGGCGCGGTTGTTCTTACAGCTTAGGTTTGAGTTACTTTTCGTTATAGGGATTTTTGTTTTTGGTGCATTTTGATTTTTGTCTGTTTGAACTTATTGTGGAGAGTTTTTGATATAATCTAAGCTTTATGGATTCATATGCTCAATCTGCTGCATTCAATGTTTGCGTTTTCTTCTTATATTGATTGGTGTTTAATCCTTAGATTGTTTGAGAGGTTTAAATGGTTTATTGAACTATGAAATTGCTTACAACCATTGGTTGATCAGATTTCCGTGATGATATCGGGCTGTTTCCTTGAATGAATGTGACTCGATCGATTCTACTTGATTGTTTAGTCAAGTGATTCGATAAACGGAACTGGGATTTCTTCCAGAATTATTGATGTGAATCTAATAATTATAACTTGAGGAACCCAAGCACGATCTTAGGCCAAATTGGGACTTGTTGATATTTTTGAAGTTGTTTCATCATATAATGTGAACTATCATATGTTTATATTGCTGTTGCTAGGATGCTTGAAAGGTGAATGAATACTCATTGTGGAAGAAAGTGAAATATATTTGGGGAAAATCCAATCGAGGTGTTTTGTTTTGATATTTACTATTTAGTGGAATGGAAACTGATATATTTGATTGATGTCTATGAATAAACTTGCATGTCTTATGCTAGAAACGGGCGATTGCTATGTGAACTCTCTTTTTTTAAAGGATTACTATATTACGTTAGAGTGTAATTTTGAATAAGCCACTTTAAAATATAATTTTCTTAAAACAGTTTTTAAATATAATTGGTTTAAATACTCTTTTTAGTCAATTGAACTTTCAACTTGACTCATTTACTTTTAAAAAGTTCTATTTAAGTTTCTACTTTTAAATTTTGTTCCTCTTAAATTTTTCATTTAAAGAAATATAGTTAGGGAAATGTCATGTTAAAATTTTGATCCGGATCAGAATAGTGACAAGTATAATCACCGCGAGAGTATAAAAACTAAAATGGACAAGAACCAAAATTTAAATACAAAATAATATCTAAACTAATATAATTTAGACTCTAGTATGGTTAATGTCAATGAACCCAAAAAAATTTGTATGGTAAAATTTTTCCTTCAAGGATAGTACATGGCAAATAAGGTTACAATGTAAATTGATCATCCACATTTTGAGGGAAATGGTGAAGAATTTCATCCGTAGGATAGAGCTCCTCTAGCCCACATGTTGTAGTGAAAAATAGTTGCGCGAGGTTTCTCTCTAATGGAGGTGAAATATATAAGATCATAAACTGCTCTAAGAAATCACAAGAACAAACGAATAATTTTTTATTTTATTTTTATTGAATAGACTTGCTGCACTTTTTTGAATCACCTAGAAATCGAATTGCACCCATATTGTCATATTATTTAAATTTGGGATCAAGCCCAAGAACAAAAAGTACTAAATAATTTAAACTTTTGTTGTCTTTGCACATTGATGTAAATAATAGTGATATGAACTTGTATAGAACTTCAAATTATGATAAACTTTTATTTAATAATTTTTGTGTAATCTTTAATTTCTTTCAATTGTACTATTTCTTGAACATACTGATGATATGTAATTTAGGGTCCAGCTGGGAGGCTATCTAAAGTCTTGCCATTAGGTTGTTTGAGAGATTAGATTTGAATCAATTTTAGTCACCGAGCCTTTCATTTCAAATTTCAAGTTTAGTGAGCTTCTCGACCCATTTGCAACTATGTCTTAGGGTTGCATGTCGATAACATTCAAGTAGGATTGATTATCCTATCTTGTAAAGTGTGAGACTCTTGGGCTAAGGAATTCGTACGTTGTCTCTATCTCAGGAGTTGTTTTTTTTTTTTTTTTGACTTCATATCTCATGAGTTGTTACTCTAAGGTAATTCGTGTCTAAATCTTAGAGTTGAAATTGGATCAATTCGAGAGTTTCAAGTATTAGAAAATTAGAGTTCAAATATTCAAAGTTCCTTAACTCCAATTCATTAGTTTTTCACATTTGATATCTAACTATAAAAACAATCACGTGACAAAAGAATGACTAGAAAGCTTCCATATATTTCTCAACCTTTGAATAAATGTATCTCAAACTCAGAAATTACAAATGAAAACAAAATTTAAAAAACAAAACAGACACACCCGCAAAACCAATGCCTATGGCACATTTGCACGGTTTATGGCTTTGCCTTCATGTGAATTTTCGTGGTTGTATCAGGAAATAGAGTCCCCTCCCCACTTCCTGATTCTATCCTCAGCAACAGAGGCCTGCATTTTCCATCAGTCCCATTTTGGTTTAATGTTTGGGTACCTACTTTTTACCATAACAAACTAAATAAATTCATAAACTCACAAAACTCACCTCTTTGTTCCAGTTGGTTCTATAAATCATCCCTGTCAATATGCATGTCTGTATTATGGTTCCACACATCATTCCAGACCATATTCCCTGCGACAATCATCATTCTCATATCACTTCCAAAAAAACCACTTCTAACTTCAAGGAAAAGCAGCTTGAGTTTTTTTCTTTTCTTTCATGAGACTTCCAAAAGTGCTTTTCAAGTCATCGAAAAACTGATTCCTTTTGAAAACCATAAACTGGTAAAGGACTTACCGAGACACCAAAATCAAACTTGTAACCCATTAGCAAGCCCAAAGGAACCCCAAACACATAGTAACAACCAATATTCACATAAGCTACAACGGCTTGCCATCCAGCTCCAACGGCCACTCCTGCAGTTATCCAAAAAAACAAACTTAATTTCCATCATTAATAAATTGCTTAAAGGTCGAGGTCGAAGGCGAAGACGAAGAAGAGAAACCGGATAGAACGGGTTGCACATTGTTGATCACTATGCAGAAACAAAGCATAGGAGTTAGCTTCTTCACAATTTGTCTCACAGCTGAATCGTTCGAAAATAAGGATGGATAATCGTTCTTCGTGATGAGTAGAATCGATGCAAGCATGAGACCGAGCAGACACGACGATATTACAGCCACCACCAACGAAAATCTCGCTGTTCTGGGATGAGCTGCACCCAATTCATTCGAGATTCGAACACTGCACATTTATTCCAACCATTAATTTCCTAATATTAAAGTGCAAATATCGATTAATAGTTCTTTTTAAATTATATCATTTGAAATGTTTGGTAGACATTCGAATTTTCAACCTACAGAAATAATTATTAATATTGAGCTATACTTGATATTTTGTAAGCATCATTGAGAAAATCAATAGAGAAAGGATGTGATTTGTGATTCTCCATTTTTACCTTACGGCTGCGTTTATTCCAAAAGCGACCATCACCATCCATCCCAAGATATTCGTGCTGCACCAAATTATATCCACAAAATCAACTCAACAAGTGTTTATCAATCAGTAATTTTTAGTTCTTTGACAAATTACATTTAATTTGGAGGAATCATGAATGCATGCAAGAAGGAAGATAGAAAAAAAGTACTATTATTTCAACTTCCAATCTTAGATATACATATTAACGAGTTGAGTTATACATTTGATGTTTAATTTTTTATAAACGCTTTGTTTTTTTTTTAAATTATCTTTATACTTATAATATTAAGTTTTAGTTCAACTTTCAAATATCATGTACCACATGCTTGAATTATTGCAACTGCCCCAATAAAAAACATACTAATTAATAATATTTTACTTTTGAACCGCCCATCAACTTTTTTGGAGGCCACACCCAATCTTTCTAGACTTGACATATTATTTTGAGCACTGTGGAGAATGATTGCCATCATCTTTATGCTCATATTCATGGAGTTCAAACCAGAAATCTAATACTCAAAGCAGAAATCTTTATTATATTTCTGAGTTCTCACTTGTGAAAAATAAAGTCATCAAGCAAAGAGTCAAATATGTTCCGATTAAAACATAAAATAAAAAGACGAGAGAAATATCTGTCGTTTGAAATTTTAGAAAAAATAGCATAATTCAAATCAAGCTAATATTCTAGAAATAATACTAAAAAATTCATACTTATATTATATTTGAAAAAGAATTTAAAAAATGTATATTTAATTTACTGAAATTTTTATTACAAAAATGGTCACTTCTGTTTTCAAATCATTTGGTCTCTCATCTCAACAATTATTTTGATGAACAAATCAAATGAAAAAAACAGATCGAACCCGATCCATTGATGGTGTTAAAAAAAGCACCCTGCTAGAGATTCACGTGATTCACGTGGAAAAAAGGTCTCATTTTCTTTTTTTTTTTTNCTCTCCCTCCCCTCTCTTTCTCCCCATCCTTGTCTCTAATTTTTATTAAATCAATCAAATTAATAAAATTCTAAGTTTTAGAGTCAATTTTGTGCATATGGTCTTCCAGAACATAGTGAAACAAAATTCGGACACCTAATACAATAAAATTGACTCGACCAAACCCGACCCACATCACGTGGGTTTCATGGATCAGAAGTTTCCCTTCTAAAAGTCAATAACTATTGGGCCACAAAATAATTACAAAAAGACAAGCAAAAATTTTTCTGATCAATTAATTTCTATCAAATGACATGCTTTTAGAAATTGTTGAATAAATAAATAATGAAATTATCCATGCAAGTATTATATATTAATTTTAATCGTAGGCTTTCCCCCCCTTTGTTTGTTCTTCTTTTTCTCTTTCATTAAAACTATATATTTTGCATAAGCACACTTGACTCATACGGATGCGTGATCATGTTTTTTTCTATTATTTTATGTCCAATGTATAACGACAAAATAATCCGTGATTTTTTTTTTTTGACAGTGTCATGCAATAATATTAATTAATTACTCCATTATTAACAAGAATTAACTAGTAAATACGTACCATATGGATCAAAGATATATGTGTTCTTTTTTACCATTGTCATGCAATAATAATTAATTATTCCATTATTAACAATAATTTAACCACTAATACGTACCATATGGACAAGGCATCAATGGAAACTTCTGCGTCCTCCAGATATCCAGCAAACAGCACCAGAGCCATAAAATACCATATCTCCAAACTGCAAGATAATAAACCGATAATTTTTATATGGGTAATTTTAATTACATTACTAAAATAGTTCATCTACTTTATAAATTATAAATTATAAATTATTTTTTTATATTTAATTAGTTTGCAAATCATAATATTCTATTAATAATTTTAAAAAATAATTAATGCACGCAACATGTGATAGAATAAATTAAGCATACTCTTTTCAAAATGAATTGCATTCTTCATACTGGAAGTATTTTATTAGAACTTTGAATAATACTGCTTCAAATTACTTTTAAAATTCAATGGCGTTTACTTGTGGTATTTCATTTAATTATATCAATTACATAAAGAATAATTAATTCTTACCTAGCCAATTTTAAACTAAACTCTCAATCTTGAAGCTTAAATATTCAAACCCCAATAATCAAAAGTTAGATACCAAACATATTTAAAAGGACAAGAAACAATTTATTTCAAAAATAAATAATAGAAATGCATGCTTGTAACTACTCACAAACCTTTTAAAAGAAATTAAAACTTTTCAATCTAAAAGCTTTTACATTTGTCTTAATTAAAAATTAGTGTTCAAAACTCACTACTCCTACATTGTTGAAAAAATTAAAATTTAATTAATTAAAGATATTAATATCTATCTATGATTCAAGTTCTGAGGATAAAACACAGTAGAACTACAAATTTTAAGTTAAAATTAGTTCTATCAACTTCTTTTTTTTACGATATTATTAAGATTATCACCCCTAAAAAATTGATAACTATTTATTTTTCAGAGTAGAAAATATATCTCTTCTTTTATATTTTTTATTCCTCCCTAGTATCTGTCGAAAGATATAGTGGTGGTTGAGTATAACATTCTTAATAATAAGTTAGTGGCTAAATATTATAATATATCTAAATACTAGCAATATTGAAGTGGTCAATCATGAGCACCCACCTTTCTCTCATCAATATTAATTTTTTTTACAAATAAAAAAGATAAATGCTAAAATAGAGATTTTTTTATTTTATTTTTTACTTTTTGAAAAAAGAAAGATGGATCAAATTTTGAATAGTGGTAAAATATTGACCGATGAATATTTAAGTAGTGTTGTATATTTTGTCAACTTAATTAAAACTATATCATGTCATCCTTGTGGAGTAAAATTAAAAGATAATTTAGAATTATTTAGCAACTCTTTGAATACTCAACAAAATAATTGAAATTAAACTAATATCATGCGACTAAAGTTGTAATTTGACGAAAAATTAACTTAAACTGAGAGAGAGAGAGAGAGGGGCTGACCAAAGCATGACAGCGGAAGCCAGCGAGAGTCTGACAAAACCCCAAAGACTCTGAAACGCCCTCCACGAGAAACCAGACCAGGCTCGCCCACAACTCCCCATGAATATATAAACCAGCTGAGCCACCACAACGAACCACCACGTGGCGTTCAAGACCACGGCGCCGCCCGCCAGGCCCCACCCCAGCTTCAGCATCAGCAGCCAACTGAAGAAGGCGTGCAGAACCAAAGCCACCGCCGCTATCGCCGACATCGCCATCATCTTGCTCTGCGCCTGCAGGAACTTCGAGATCGGAAAATTCACCGCGTACGCGTACAGCTGCGGTATCATCCACACCGACATCACCCCCGCCGCCTCCGACACCGCCTCCGTCTGCCCGGTCAGCTTCAGAAGCGGCGCCGCGAATACGTATGCGGGTGTCATAATCACGGCCGTCGTCAGCAGGATGATCCACGACCTTTGCATGTAGATTCCCAGCATATCCAGCTGCCCGGCGCCGTACGCTTGCCCGCACAGCGTCTCCAGCGCGCTTCCCATGCCAAGCTACGGTCACAATTTCTTTCTTTTAATTATCAAATATTTAACCCTTTTTTTTATTTTTTACTTTTCGTTAACTTTAATTTCCAGTAGGATTCCTAGTAGAAAGAAATTAGGTAAGCACTTTTTAACTTTTGGCTTCAGGCTGTGTCAGACAGACACATGTAGAAACATGTAGTTTCTCTCTGCTATCAAATTGTCTAATTACATTTATTATAGTCTCCTCAAAATTTTGGTAAATAAATTTTAGAATTAAAAGGTTAATTATTGTTCAACTTCAATTTTCATACCTATATTTTTCGCTTCTGTTCTTCTCTTGATCCTGTAATCCTTTTCTATTACAATTATTTTTAAGTTCATTTTGATCTATTTCCTTTCAAAATCAACATTTTGAGTTTTGACTGTAAAATGGACGAGAGATCCTACGAAATTGTCTAAATAAACATTTTGAAAAGAACCGCAATAAATTAATGAAAGCTGAAACCACAAAATCAGAATAAGGTTTAAATCAAGATGATATATGTAATTAAAAAGAAAAACCTAACTACAGTGTTTGGTTTTGTCGAGTTTGATGTGTATAAAAATTAAAACAGACATGAAAATGTAATTCAACATAAAATAAACAAAAATCAAGATACTTTTTAGGTACGAAGACTATTGAAAATAATAATAATAATAATAATATATAAATAAATAAATAAAAGAAGAAGAAGGAATATTAAATAAAAAAAAACTTAAAGAAGGCTAGAGTTAGAGAAAATAGACGGAAGAGTAAATGCGGGATTAATAGCAGATGACAAAGGTACGTGCCATGATTCCTAAGGAGAAGCCGGCGATAACGGAGTTTTCGACGGAGACCGCGGCGAGGGCGATGGTGCTGACTTGACCGGCGAGGAGTTGAGTGATGGCGCCGAAGGAGTACTGGCAAATGGACGTAAACACGGCAGGGGCTGCCAGGTACCAAAGCTTCCTTACTTCCACACAGAACTCTCTGTAGAAATCGCGGACGCTGTTGATCGGAGGGATGTCGTCGGCGCCGGGAGAGAAGGTGGCGGCCTTGGTTTCTCTTTTGCGAGATTCCGGCGAGTGGCTCCGCTTCTCTTCGTCCCTCGGCGAGAGAAGTTGCTGAGTGAGATCCGCCATCAGAAGAGATTACAGCGTCCCTCGGCGTACCACCAGGGTTTGGGATAGCTACGTTTTAATGTAATGGTGTCCTGAGCCAGACAGCTATTTTATAATAATTTTTGTGATTGTTATTATTTAAAAAAACAAAAAACGAAAAAAAAGACCAATAAAAAGGAAATACCTTAGCTCCAAGTCTCCACCAATGGTGGTTGACGAATCCTGTTGTGGGTATGAAATTCTTCGCTCGCTGCTTCTTGGGCGCTGAGAGATATATGGACAACAATGGATTGCAGGAAAGGGAATTACGCCATGGTAAAATAAAAGGAAAATATTTTCGTAATTATTATTTTCAATTTTTTTTTAATGTTTTTACTCTTTATTTCAATTGTCAAATATTTAACAGTGATGGAAAGAAAATTAATCATGGGTGAGAAGCAAGTATTTTTCAAAATAAAATTCAACACCAATCAAAATAATTTGACTACTCAATAATATGAAGAGTTTTAAAAGATAATAATAAATTGTCAAAGTTGAGAAGCTGCGTATTTTCTTCTTGCAATTATTAAAAAATTGATTTTTTTCTTAAATTATCTAGTTTTATATTTTCTCTTTTTATTTGTCAATTTTTTTAGTGGTAGTTGCAGTCGGCACTTAAATATTTTTCAATAAAAATATGCGTTGGTACATGTAACAACAATTTTATAAATTTTACCGCAACAGTATAATTTTATTGGAATTTAAACAAAAAAAAATGTAATATTTTAAAATAATAAATAAAACAATGTCATTATTTAAAATACATATAATATAATGCTATCTATGAACATGATCTGTCATCTAATATAATTTTCATTCCTAGTTAAAAAAAAATATATAAAATATTATTGTCTTTTTCCCCTTACAATTGTGTTGGTCTTGCTGCAGCCAATTAATGGTCATGCCATTGTCTAGCTCAAATAGGTGGTGGGAGTACGTTGTCTGGCAAGTAATCAAGCCTGCCGTTACAAAATTTCTCTCTCGCTTGTCGGTAAAACAGTGAAAAAGAAGTCCATACGGATATAAAATGCACTCTAAGGAGAGCGTCTCTAGATCTCCTCAAATTCGTTAGATTTTTTCCCATAATCTCTTGGAGTATATATTAATTATCGGCTCACTTTGATTTTAAATTTTTAAATATTATTTTAGTTTCTTCCATTTCACATGTGAACCAATCTTCTAAATCCTCCTATATTTCCACAATTTTTTATTAATTGATTGATTTATATAGTTCTTTCAAAAAAATATTTTCATAAAATCAAAACTTCTACATTTTTAATTATCATTTATAATAATTTATATCAACATAAACATACACATTAATTAACTGGTTTAAAGGCATAAGAAAACTTGTAGATCAATTATCTCCCCCACCCTCCCTCACCCAAACAATTAGTATTATATCCTCTCAATTGGAACCTCCAAATTTGGAAGAATTTGAAATCATTCTAGAAATTGGTTTGAATAAAATAAAATTGAAATCCAATATAACTAAAATCTTAATTTGATCTAAAAGCAAAATCAATTCAAAACCGATCGAATTGAGCAGGATTTCAAATTAAAGTTGTCTTCCTTACAAATTTATTTATTTAGAAGTTGGTTGAATCGAAGAAATAAAGATGAACGAATAAAATAAAAGGAAAAAGAATATTTGATCAGGGCAGACCTTGACGGCAAGTGACCAATAGATGGTGGGCTGCTGCAAATGACGGCAGTTTTCGCGGCGGCGTCAGGTTTCAAGAGAACGGAAGATAGAAATGGAAGAAAGAAAAGTGGTGGCAACGGCGGCCATGGAGATAGAAAATAAGAAAGAAAGGGACTTGAGCGGTGAGGAAAAGAAAAGTTAGGTTTTTTTTTTCCTTTTCTTTTTCAATAAATATATATATGTATATGTGTGTATATATAAAATTATAACCAAGTAGTTTTTCTTTTCCTAACCTCCAACCACCTAAATAAAAATTATCCTTTCTATCTTGTAAAATTTTAAAATTTTAAATTATTTTCTTCTATACATTCAATAATATATGGAAATGAGTATTTGAACATTGTCATGTTCAAGTTGGCGTTCGAACTACCGACTTCAAGAAAATGATTAAAGAGTAGATAGAAATTATTGTTGAACTGTGATCATTTTAGCATGTTACTATATTACTTATCAAATAAATGATCAACAAACGTATTTATAACATATTTTAAATAATCCATAATTTAATTGTATGGACTAAAATAGAAGGTTTAACAGTTAATCAAAAATATCGTCAAAACGAACATAACTCAGTAATTGGCATGTACCTCTAACCAAAGAGGTTGTGAGTTCGAATCCCCCAACATGTTGTACTCAAACAAAAAAACAGTTAACCAAAAATATCAATCAATAATGAAAGATTATAACATGGGCAAGGGATATGCTGGTTTTGGCTAATGTGAAAGGTGAAGCAACATGATATAAGATTCCAACTAACTTTGTTTATTTTCTATACTGACTTTTTTTTTTTATCTGACGTTGGTCAATTAATAAAATGTTCATAAATAAAATAATGAATAAAGTATTAAATGTGGGTTTGATTCACATAAATAAATAAATGTGAGGTTTGGTTGATTTTTATCTATTTCATTTTTAACTTTCATTTTCCTTAAATTTTATTTTATTTCCTTCATTCTTTATTCACTTTTCTTCAAAAATTAGACAATAGTCTTAAAATATAGACCGTATATTAAATTAATGACAATTCAAAGCCTAAAAATCAAGATTTTAACAAAATTTAAAGAACTAATATTTAAAGGTAGAAGAATTTATCTCAAATTAAACTTTCAAAAGTTTAAACCAAAAATATAATATTCATAATTTCTTCAATATATATATATGGATTTATTGACCAAAACATGTAATTAAACACCCCACAAAATGTCAATTTGAGACAAATTTTAATTTATTGATAAAAAAGTACTCCCTCCCTATAGTTTTGTGTCTTGTTTATCATTTATCGTTTTCAATTATTTATAAAACATAAACACTGGATAATTGTTCTTGTTTTTTGTTTGTTCTTATTAAAAAAATATTTATAAAATGATATAGAAATTTTGGAAACAACAAAAATCTTATTTTCTCATTTTTATTTAAAAATAAATAAAATATTATTTTATCATTATTAACTTATAAAATGCATAGTAAATAATTAAAAACAAATATGATATAAAAATTTTAATTTCACTTAAAACTTTCGTTTTTTAATTTAAAATTTTAGAGAAAACCCATAAATGAGCACCAGGTTTATATTTTTCTAAAAAAAAAAAACAATTAACAGTAGTTCCACTTTTATTTTATTTATTAATGCTCCGTTTAGCGAATAGGAAATGATTTCAAATTCAAAGATTTTAAATAATGGAAATGATTTCGAATCTCTCATTCTATTTGGAACCAAATTGACTCTAGATAATTGAAATTAAAATTTATTGTTGGGATATTCACCATAATTGAAAAAAAAAAGTATATCATTTGACTATTATGCCTTTGTAATTTTTTATATTATATTAATAATATTTTCATATGAAATATACTTTAATCAAAATCAACTTAATAAATTAAAACTTTCAATTAAATTTAAAAAAAGCAAAAAAAAAAATATTTGTAAATATTTCTATTGAAATATATATTTTTAAATCTAAACTAGAATAATTTATAACTAAAAAGAACTTAAACCATTAACCCACGTACTCTCGTATTTTTCGTTTATTTTCTTTTGACTGTTGTGCTCAAACTTCCTCATTAAAAAGAAAAAAGAACATAACAAATGTCATACTTAAACACAAACATGCACAAATAATTACAAAACAATACTTCAACTATATGTATATAGTTTAAAAATTTGAAGATAGTTAAAAAAAATGAAAGAGAAAATTTTAAATGTATCAAACTACCTATACATCTTAATCCAGAAAAACGTAGGTAGAAAGACAGAAGAGGAAAAAAAAATTTGTAGTATATTTGACCATTTGCACAGAAAAAATATTCAGAAAATAATTATATAAAAGGTAGGATAGAGTAACGTGAATAAATNTTTACAAAAAAGCTGATTTTAAATCACTTCTCATTTCAAATTCCTTCCCTTTCTTGCAGTACCAAACAACGAAAAATATAATTTGCAAAACAGGGGTAAAAGAATGGAAACTAGAAACTCAAGCCAGAAATATAATAATTACCAAAGAAGTCCTAATTATTTACATGAGTTTATGTGTTTTATGAATATTATATATTTTTTTAATACTCTGTCTATCGTACTGCATTTGTAAACGTAGTTATTAGTCTTCGTTCAATGTTTTTTTAGTTGATAGTACTTATACAGATTTTATTTTAAAAAAAAGAATGATATCTTGAATAGGAAATAGCAATAGATCCCAAATCCCCGTTGAACATATTTCAAAATTATTCCCTTTCTCCAATGCTAGTGGTGTATCTCATGTTCTGCACGTGGAATGCTAATTTTAACTATAAATTTGAAAGTTTGATTACATACTATTTGTTTTGAAACATTTTAATAAGACATCGCGCATTTATACGTCAATTTAATATGTTTTTTTCTTAGAAGCTTTGTCATTTAATTAAATTTATTAATATGTGAATCATGAAGTTTTTAAAAATTCTGGACAAGATGAAGCTCATTAAACTAATTCGTAGGTACAAAATATTGAAATAAAAATGAAGAAGGCTGATTGAACAATTTATCCAGTTGCATTATTGAATTTATCTGAAATTACTTTTTTTAATACAATGAATACAATATAGGGATGAGAAACTAAACTAAAAAAAACAGATGTCTTACATCAATTATGCTTCTGTTGGTCAGAGCTGTGCAGACCAATTTTTTATATGTAAACATTATATTAAAATATTAGAAATGATATCTTCGAAGATATTTATTGGAAGTCAGAATTAATAAATGCTTCATTATTTAAATAAAATAATTGTAATATAAATGACTTCTCTTATGAACTTTTGACTTTCCAAAATTAACCAATTGTTTGATTGAATTTATATAGAACGTCATCCCCAGCTTTTCAACCCAACTTAATTTAAAACTTAGCCTAATTTGTTYGATAAATGGTGATAATTTAAATAGTTGAGGCATAAGCTAGTTACTTTTAACCATGTAGACAGATYGAGGATATAATGGGTATAGTGTAAAAAATTAAGGGGGAAAATGGGACATAGAAGTTTTTCGTACATTCTACATATATGGCATAGATTTTTCAGAGACAGAATGGAGAAAGATGCAAATAATTAGCCACTATGTTCCGATCTCACCCCTAAATTGTCATGACAATCTTGAAATTCTTGCTCACACGTACACTAATATAAACAAAAACTGAAAAGCATGTGATCATGTTTCTGCTATTTACAGTGCTCATATGTTATTGTCATGCATGAGATTCGATTTTTCTTTTTTCGGGGTGTATTTTTGGAATAATGTTTACCTCTTGATTGGTCAGTAGAAGATGGCCGTTTATATTTTTTATAGATAGAAGCGAGGAATAAAAAAAAATGAAAAGAATGATTTAGAAAAATAATAAATATCAAGTTTTTAGTGGGGTCAATAAAGATTCATATTTCTTTTTAATAAAATTTTCAATAATATTAGAGTGTAATGAAGAGCCTGCCACTAAAAAATTGCCAACTATTTTCAAATATATATGTAACATCTCCTCTTTCTTTCTATTTCGTATTTGTCAAAATAAAATAATAATAGTAGTAGCAGCATCGAGCATTGTTTATATTGGGATTGCATGGAATGCAAACAAAGTTCTATATTGATTAGGAAAATTACTGATTCATGGTATATAAATGAGGATAATTATCTCTATCGATATGAAATATTTTGGATGAAATAAAAAACAAAGTCGTGAGGAGTTTTTTCAAAGTGGAGTATATATACATTCGTCCATAACAAATGGAATCAGAGTCATGATAAAAAAATCTAACTGAGTAATCGATGACATGGAGTCCAATAACATTAAAATTCTATTTGTAAAAAAAGATTATAGTGAAAAAAAAATAAAAAATTAGTGTCCTCGTAGTAAAAAATTTCCTCAAAACTCTATCTAATAATTTTTTTTATGTATATGTCAATTGTCGCTGAACTATACTCTTGTTTTACTTTTTTCAAAGATAAGATTTCTTGTCGGCCACGCTTGTGGTTCGGTCTTATATTTACTTTTCATAAAGTAGATTTCAAAGAGATAAGATGCCAGGTAGAGACATGTCCTGTCGACAAAATTCTTGATCGCCTTATTAGACCCTTTCCTAGATACACAACCTTACTAAGGTGTGATCTGCGGGTCAATATTTTCATTAAAAAAAGTGTGTTTTTAGCGACCACTTGGTAGCTGTTTTTACTTCTGGATTATCTCGTTGATTCTGCGAATCTTAGATAAGGTAGGGGCATGACGAAGATAGCTTCAAACAGGACCGTAGCTGACCAAGACCGCAGATCTCGTAGTGTTTGTCACGGAGAGTCATGATTGTTAAGAAAAGTCTAGAAATACTCCAACGGATGCTTCGGCGGTGGGATGTATGGCGGCAACCTTAGGCGTGGATAGCCGTTCGTAAGTCTGCAGTTCTTCATCCTTAATCTCAGAGGATATGTCAGAAAGATGCTTGAAGATGATGCAAAATCTACCTTTACTTTTAAGAAAAGTCGTTTGCAAATAAAATATTAACTAATAGCTTCAATTTGTAGTGACTAACTAGTAACGTAAAATTAAAACGAATACCATCATAATATAGGACATATAAGCCAAGGTACCTCACCTTGCCCAATTTTT